CCCCAGCTGCTCCTGCGCCTAAAGGTAAAAGTCCTTTTAACCCTAAGCCTCCTCCTCCTCCTCCTCCGAAGTCCCAAAGTGCAACAAGGGAGACACGACCCCTTCTAATCTCACGCCGAGGTCGAAGGCTGTGTCCAAGACAGCAAAGATGTCAGCCGTTGAAAAGGCAAAAGTTCCGTGTATGTTCTACGCCTATGATGCGTGTAGGGCCAAGTCCTGCGCCTTCCTCCACGCACCGACTGAGAAGTACACTGGGCCGCCCCCACGGGCCCTCAGTAAGGCGAAATCTCCGGCCGCCGTTGCCGCCGTAGTCCCAGCGGTCCCAAGTGTCCCTGCCAGGAACGATAACATCAGTTGGCTATGGGACACCGCTGCAGGTCGCCACCTCATCGGTAAGCAGGCTTTGAACAGCACTATGATGCATTGCGTACGCAAGACCAACACACCGGTAGGCTTTGCCACAGGCGGAGGAGCGCAACAAGGAGATAAATCTCTTGCGTTTGAGGACTCCCGTGTGATCCCACCTGATGAGCAGGTTTACGTTTTGAACGAATGTCCGCCCGCTCAATCAATTGGCAAAACCGTCATCGATCAAGGTTACCTCTTCATCTGGGACCCCAGTTCCTCGCCGTTCTAGGATCAACGCCTCCAGGGTTGTTGAGTACGTACCACAGTACGACGAGGTAGTCAAACCGCAGATCGTTGATCAAGCCGCGAATCTTCGGCCAATCAATGTCGTTGGTTCTCCTGCGAAAGTCGAGGATGATGCAGTTTCCTTGTCCGATGATGATTCCTTCATCGTTGATCCATGCCAGGATTTTCCATCACCTGCCCAAGTGCCAGAAGAAGAAAAGGAGCAGCTCAATGCGCTCATTGATGATGTGGTCCAAGAGATTAAGGTTGCTAGCTTAACGCGCAACGAAAAGCCAGCCATGCCAGCTCCGGACGAAAGGGCTCCGGCCGAGCCCCCGGATCCGCCGCCAGTGCCACCACCTGTTGGAGCACCTCCTGCACCCGCACCAGCGGTGCCCGAACATCCTGATGACGAGCGCAGACTTGTCGATTTTGCAGAAGGTGGTGAGCTTCGTGATGAACCGCGGCTTTGGGCCGAAGCCAGTTCACCGGAACACCAACGGACTCACTTCCCCAAGAATCCCTTCTGCAAGATTTGCAACATCGCTAAGAACACATCAATGCGTGTCGCCCGGAAACCAGGGGGGCGGAGTGACGATCTTCTCGACGCACCCACCGCTCCCTACCAGCAGCTCGCTACTGATAGCGTGATCTTGGCGAAAGGCGATGAACACGTTGGCGTCGGCATAGGCGGAATAAAATCCCACCATGTCATCAGGGATGTGTTTTCCGGCGCAAGGGTCGCACACCCCGTCTCAAAGAGAGACATTCCGTCGCACGCAAGGAATCTCAGGCATTTCATTGGCCTCAGGGCATTGTACCTGCGGTGTTCCGTTCGTGCTCCACCAGGTTTTGGAACAACAACCCAAACTTGCCTTTGCAACAGGTTTTCAACAGCTTGGCGGCTATCTCACGGGTTGTGCGTGGGAAACGCTTGTCTGCCCTGAGTTGTTCCTCGGATGAGGTCAGGCAATCCTGAGCTCACAGATAGAGCTCGTCATCGGTCGTCTTTTGCAAACGCCCAATGGCCATGAGGACTTGATTCACGTACCCACGCGCCTGACCGGCGTTCTCTGGCGGAAGCGGAAGCACTAAATCCTTAAGGCCCTTGATGCGAACCACGGTTTCCTCATATGAGGCCGGATCTGATGCGCTTGTAGCAGCATCCCCACCACTTGCATCTGCTGCTTGAGTACCTTGTCCCTGCAGCTTGTTCAGCTAATGCGGTCTGAGCACGGGCTCGTTCGACTGCTTGCTGGGCTTGGTATGTCAGTTCAGTTGCATGTTGTCTAGAGGTCTGCTCCCTTTGTTGCGCAACAGCAGCAACCTCCCCTAGCCTTTGTCTGGCCTCGTCCGCGGCTCGATGCTCGTGAAGGGCAACATTGGCAGCCTGATCAGCAATGAGCGAAGCTTGATGCGCACGTCGCCGATCCGGCCACAGCACTCATGTTCCTAGATGGGTCGGGTGCTGGCACTTGTGGGCTATACACAAGGGGAGTTGCAGTAGAGTCTGAATCAGGTTCCCTTACAATGGGAGTCCTACGGGGAGGAGTCGCGTTGCGATCGCGGCTACAAACATCTCTTGATGAGGATGCCCTGGAACCTACGGGAACTACGGACAGTGCGGGTGCCGAAACATCACCTAGTTCAGGGTCTTCCTCATTAGATTCTCTCCCAGGGGTTGACCTTGATCTATCATCCGAAGGTGGGGAAATCCCTGACGCCATGTCGGATGCACCTTTCACACAAGGTCAGGCTCACGTATGCTGACACACCGCGCTTCAAGCTGCGGCCTGGGAAAACTTATGCTACAACCGGTGTTGGAAACCGGTGCACTTGCTGCGCTTGAGCTGCAGCCTCCGGCACTGCCAGGTCACCGAAAAAGTCCGTCGCCCCTTGCAGAGTGAGGGCGGCGGCCAACTTCCTCGAGGCACTCGTTTTGGTCGAGTACTCTGGCAGGACGGAGTAGGCGTCGGTGCTGGTTGAGGTACTCGTGGGGCTCGTCCAGCGCGTCGTAGAGCGCTCGATCGGCGTCTCGTCGACCGACGCCTATGCCGAGGGCGCCTGCTGTGCGGCACTCCTTGAGGACGGAGTTGTTGTCGTCCACGATGGCGCACGCCCCCAGCTGCGCTAAAGCTGCAGCCTTGCCAGATGGTCCGACCCGTTTCCAGGTCAGAACCACTTCTCCGAACGGGAGTGTGACCAAGCCGTCAATGGCGTTGTTGCACACCTGGCAGTAGCTGACGATGCGGAAGTGGATGGGGTAGTGGCTGCGGTACAACTTGGACAGTACCTTCAGCAGCCACTCCTTTGGCGCACCGTCAGGCTCGACGGAAATGTCGAGGGTGTAGGCTTTGGGCGGCGTCTTGATCGATCTTGGGACCGACGCTGCGCGTTGAGCTGCAGCCCTTGGCACTGGTGGCGCTCTCAGCGGTGGTGGGGGTATGGCCTTCGACGCAGCGCCGCAGCTGCCTGGTCGAGTACGCTTTGTGGGGGCGCCTTGACCTTGCTCTCCCGCTTGGTAAAAACTACCCGAGCGGTCTTTGTTGCGGGTGCTGTGGATGAGTCGCGCCCGGCAGGTGCAGGCCGCTTGACGCTTACCTGCTCAGCTTCGTACACCCTGTCCGGGTTGAAGGCCGCCAGACCTGAGTACACAGCGCGCGCTGACCTTTCAGGAGGTGGTGATGCGCTCAAGTCGTAATGTTCGGCCCTCCCGTGACCTCGGGGGAGGGTTGGACGAGGACTCCGCCCTCGGTGGACGATGCCAGTAGGAGTCTGGCAGGTCGTACGGGTCGTCCGAGGGTGGTGGATGCGGCGCCCGACGTGTAGGTCTTGGGGCGCCCTCGTACCGGTGCTGGAGGATCCAGATCCCTGTGCTGTCCACCCTGGTTGTGGGGTAGGCGCAGTTGGCCGGCGCAAGGATCAGCGGCCGGCTGCTCAGGGATGCACGGGCCGGAGGTGTCGAAGAGCTGGAGCTCCTGGCCCTCGACCCCGCTGCGCTTCGAGCTGCAGCCCTGAGGGGAGTTCTGGATCTTGGGCGTCGGGATGACGCCTTCTGCGCCGGTGCAAGGGAAGGCTGATGCCTTGCCGGCGGTGTCCTCTTCCTCCGCGATGAGGACCCTACAGCAGTATATCTCCCTCTGGCCGCAGTTGTAGGCGGATAGGAAGAGGGACGGGACGGGCTCTCAGTTGAAGCTCTGGATGGAGCCGCCGCGCTTGGAGCTGCAGCCTGATCTCCCGGCCCGGCTGCTGTCTGTGTCACCGCTGCGCTTGGAGCTGCAGCCTTGATTGTGGACACAGTTGTGGTGGAGGATGGGCTTGATGGGGTGCTTGGTTGTTGTGCCTGAGCTGGGTGCTGGAGCCTGCCCTGCCGCGCCTTGAGCTGCGGCCTGTGCCCGTTGTAGGAGTGGGATGGGTTGATGTTGGCCTCGGGCGATGACGGCGTCGTAGAGGTCGGGGTAGATGTCCCGCAGATGCCGATAGCTCTGATCGGTAAAATCTGCTTGCCACGCTAGGAGCTCCGATGCAAGTCCGAAGCTTCCTCCCAGGGGACTTTTGCCAACGGGTGAGCTCGTCGAAAGCTTCGTAGTAAAGCTTTCGACGATGAACCCACCCGCCCCTGTGTCCTCGGGCCGAGAGGGCCTAATCCCAAAAAGCAGTTACAGTTACGGCTGATAACCACTCAACAGGGAAAGAAACACAGCGAACCAGAAACCGGGACCCTTATTAACCCCAGTCCGGTAGGCGAGCGCAAACCCTGCTTTATTGATGGGCATTGGTCTTGAGCCAAACGGGCGTTGGGGCCTCCAACATCACATGCATGCACACCCTTCTGGGGTACCTCTTTGGGGATCAAGGGGTCGTGATTATTCAACAAACAAACAAACAAAACAAACAAACAATCAATCAATCAAACAAACAAACAAACAACAAATAAACTAGCAAACAATTTACACAAACAAAACGAAACACCGCAAAACAAACAAACAAACAAACAAATAAACTAGCACAATTTGAACAAACAAAACAAAACACCGCAAAACAAACAAACAAACAAACAAACAGACAACAAACAAGCAACAAACAAGCAAGCAAGCAAGCAAGCAAGCAAGCAAACAAACAAACAAACAATCAATCAAACAAACAAACAAACACATCACAAACCGACACACACCTACGAAGCACATATCTAAACAGAACATTGCACAGCAACATACCACAGTACACAAATCACACAAACGTACCTGCAAGCCAAAGCCAGCCAATCCGCGACCGAGCGCCTCTACGTTTCCTCTGAGTTTCAAGCCCTGGAAGTCTAAAAGTTGCGCCCGAAAACGGTGGGTCTCTCTTGAAGCCGTCCGGGCAGCTCCTCACCTCCTCGCAGGCCGAGCGGAAGGTCTCCGGGGTGGCGGGGCCATCCACCGGCGCCCAGCAGGCCCGCGGCGACAGCGGCGCCAGCGTCGCGTAGGTCGCGGGGAAGAAGTGCGCCGCCTCGTAGCAGTGGGGCCTCGAGCTTGGCCCAGATGGCTGTGGGTCAAAATCCCGTATACCCAGTGAACATCCCAATCCCCACTAAAATAGGTTCTAAAATGGCTGGTGCACCTACCCCGAAATGGGATCCCATTGGTTTTGACCCACAGCCAAATCCGGCCAAAGAGGATTTGCAAGCGGAAAAAAATGCAAATGGAGAAGTACCACTGTGTGGGAAATCATCACTGACATATTTTGGAATCATAGGCTCAGGGTGGTGAATCTGATCATAGGCACCCAACAGTGAATCAGCAAGCCCCGCCCACGCGGCATTGGCACGCCCTGTCAAAACGATGGCCAGGCCGGTGGCTCAAAACCTTGGCCCCCCCACGGCACCAGCAGCTCAATGCCCTGCTCCTTGAGGCCCTCATGCAGCAGCCTACTTGGTTGCTGTCGACCCCCCAGCAAAAAGTTTAACTTTTTGGGGGCTTAGTGGAAAACACCTTTATTTCCCAAAAAGTTAAAGTCTAAAGATCCAACCCAATAGCAGAAAAAGCCTAAGGCAAAGGATGACTGGCGACCGCGCTTCCAACCCATGGCCTTCGACGCCCCCGCGCCAGCATGAAGCCGCGGAAGATCCCGCGGAAGCCGCGCGGCCCTGGCAGGCGGCATGGAGCCCCCTTCGGGCGCCCCTTATGCGGGGCTTACCGTGGCCCCAAAAGACAAGATGCTGCCTTTAGCGTCCTTTAGCGCCCCATAAGGAAACCACATGGGAAGCCCGCCAAGCTGCACGCTTTCTGCCTCCGTCCGGGAGCTCCACAGCCTCCCGGAAGCCGAAGCGGAAGAGGGGAAGCCCGGCCGCCACCGCCGCCTCGGCCTCCTGTGCAAACCGGCGCCGCCGTTCGCCGCGACCTAAGGCCTGAGACCCGGCTCGCCAACTCCCCTCCCCGGGAACGGTGTTTTTGCTTTTTACTAGGGCTGAGTTTCTTTCCTGCTGGCTTTCCGCAGGGCAAACATCCCCAGGAAACCCCCCCCGCCAAAAAACGAGATCTGGGGAGTTGGCTGCACCTCCCGCAGCGTCTACAAGCAAAGCACGGAACGCTCGCAGGGCCTCATCGAACTCCAGATCGTCGGGCATGACGGCAGCCAAGGGCCTGAAGTGAAAATCGAGCAGAAATCAGAGTCGGCTCGGTCAATGCACATTGCTCCGTGTCTTCAGCTCAGGAGGTCTCTCAAAATGCAATGCTTTCGTTCATTCTCGTGTCTTCTCTTGCCTGGTTTCACATGCTTCCCATCCCAATGTCTCGCGCTTCGCCGAGCAGCAACTCTGCCGTATCAGTACCTAAATGCTGGCGAAAAAATATATTGGGCACTGCGTCACAGTAGAAGACATGTCCTGTGTATAAATCACAAAAAGAAACGTGCATCCGACTTCTCAACAAGCGTGCGGATATTTGCAACGGTTGCCCTCTCTTTGCCTTGGCGAGCCACTCAATGCCTCTCCAAACTCATGGTGCAAGCCAATCTCCCGCAAATACTGTAGATCCATTGCAGGGATCAAGGCCAGTCGGCTACTGCTTGTGCGTGCATCTGCCCTCCAGGATGGCCGCATCGTCGTGACAAAGGTTGTGGGCATCATAATCAGCAAAACACGCCAAAACAGGCAATGCCTGCAAATACATATTCATCTGCAATTTAAATAGCATGTTTGTTCATAGTGGCTTTCACCTTGAGCCAGTATGGTGACCAGCTCACTTGACCCACTTGCAACAGCGCGCTCCACACACTGCGGCCCTTTATTTCTAGAAAAACCGATAGCTGCTGAAAACGATGGCATCTTCGAAGCCAGCGCTCAGCAAGTGGCTCACTCACTTGGCACGGCCAACGCAAATGCCGCACTTCTCGGGCCTGCGCAGGCCACTTTTCTCGTTGGCCATGCCACATGCAGCAGGATCGCCCCATGCAACTCATGCGCTTCCAGAGCCTTGTTGAAGTGGAGGGCCGGGCAACCCGCCATCCCGTAGCAATCAAAGCCTTAGTCAATGCATGCAACACTACTGAAGCACAAAGTTTATTCAGCAGAAAACAGGAAGAACAAAAGAAACTGCACACGGTCGGCATGAGCCCATGGCCCTCTCGTCGGCAAGCCATTGCACCTTCATCTCGCACAGGGGGCATGCCTCAGGACGGCAGTGAAAGCCACGGGGCCTTTGCGACTTTTCTGAGCTGCAAACTGAGTGCTGGCCGCAGGCCACTTTTTCCTTAAGATCTGAATACATGCACGTACATCCGTTCAGCAAGTTGTCCCCTCTCGCATCACGCCCTTGGATGCTAGCCCACACATGACATGCCATGCTTGCAGAGTTTGACGGTGCCTGAGGCCGACTCTGCACAGGTTCGGCAAACCAAGCACCTGACATGGAAGCGCTCCATGAGTCACCCAAAGCCAAATCAATTGACAGCACCCCCGATATTGGCACGAAAGTGGGGGAAACGTTTCTGAAACGAACAAATCCAAACGACCAACAAGACGGCAATTGCACAGTGTGAGCATGCACCCAGCTTGGCATTGACAGCAACCGCAGCCAATGCTCACCCGCTGAAACATGTAGCAGTCGTCAGCCAAGAGCGCCAAAGCAGATCTGCAGTGACGGCAGAATTTAGGCGCCATGGCTGAGCAAGCAAATAGATCATGCACGAATCAGGCACGCCAGCAACAGGCGTGCGGCAACGAAGTGCTGCGGGAGCAAGACTTTTTGCGAAGAGTGTTTTGCCAGCAGCCAGAATACAAACAAGTCAGAACCGCCCGGACAAACATGCCTCTAGCCTCCCACAGAATACCTGACAAAAGAGCGGAAAAGCCTGGACTATGGAATAGTAGAGCAGAAGCAACACGACATAGGTTTTAGCTTTCAAGTTCGGGATCCCCCGATTTGAGGTTTGGGGGTCCAAACCCTGCACGCCGGACAGCAACCCAAGACAACAAAACGACAAACAAAAGACCTAAGACGTCGGATGCCAACACAGGATAGTCCATTCTCCCCCCCTCCCAACTAGTCAACGTTGTGTTTGACTCAACAATGTCCCAGTCTGTGTCAGCTCTAAGAAAAGCTCTGGCAACATCAAGCTCGCAACTCCGGGTGGCTCGAGTGCCGCCGAACAGCCGACAACACACAAACCAGGTGGTTGCGCCTGCAAGGTTGCAATCGGTGATCAGCTCTGCTGTTCTCCGGCAGCTCCTGCCCCTCCGGCCAGAAGGGGCTTTTGTTCTTTCAAAGGCTGACTGCAGCTGGAGAATGGTGTCACCTCTTGGTTCGCACAGTGTTACGCAGCTGCTTTTCCTCATGATGCATCTCGTCCACTGGCAAAGGAGCCACCTTTAGGCGTGCTCCTGCACCATGTGAGACGGCTCTCTGCGTCGCATCAAGCAGGCTGTTAAACTGCTCCGGTGTTGGCAGTTGGCCTGGCCGTCATTTTGAGGGCAGCCAGCGTTTGCAAGGCAAAGGGGGCGCTCTCACCAACTCTGTCACAGTGAAAAGCCCGTCCTTCTCCATCAAGCGTGGATGGCACGCCACGGACGGTGGAAACTCGCAGCGCTCGCAAGGCGAGGTGCACAACCTGCCAATTCTATCTGACCATGCGACACACAGACACACACTCGCAGTTTCTGCAAACTTCAATCCAAAGCCGCAACTCGATGCAAACCGTGGCACCTCGAGCTCATGAGATGCCACGAGTTGTTGAAAAGCGTCTACCTTGCCAAGTCACTCGCACCCAAGAAATGCGGTGTGTATGCGCGCGCCGTTGCTTCCAAAGGGCATGGCAGCTCAAGCTCGCTGTCACGGAGGGCTGCCGTATAGGCTCGCAAACGTTGCGCCATGCTCTCAGGCCTGAGGATCTCATACCTTAGCCGTCGTCCCACCTCCCATCGCAAAGGCAGCAAAAGAAACTCCGATGCATTGCAGTCAGTCTCTGAACAACTGATTTTGACAGGCGTCAATTGAGGTGGCTCACAATCAAGGGAAAATGAAGGTAAACAGTATACAATGGGCGTGCCGGCGCATAGGAAATTCAGATCATACGCACACCCGGTACCGAATACAAACTCGCAAGCGCAACGCCAAGAGGCCCTGCAGAGCCTGGCAGATTCCCCGCCAGTGGCGCACGAGCTTCTCTGCTCCAGCCTCAGGCTGCAGAACGCGCTTTGCGTCTCACCTCGCGGTTTAGCTGAGGCTCCCTTTCGCTCGCCCACACCGGCAGCTCCTTCCAGTTGGGTCTGATGGCTGCCGGCTGGACATTGCAGGCCTTTGCTGCGCCGTCGGTGCCGCAGCCTCACTGCATGCCGAGCAACCATGCAAGAGCTGCTTCGTGCATGCCGCCACGCTTGCGACTCATTGCTGACCAAAAAGCCCTCGCTATAGTATTGCAATGGGCAAGACTTGTTTGGGGATCGCTTGATATATTCAAAGCAGAACTACCAACAAACAATCAGACAAACACCCCGTCTGATCCCAATAATCAACATGTTCACACTCAAAGCTAACAAACGATGCGCCTGGCCAAGAAACAGGTTCCACTCAGTTCTGTCTGAGGCTTGCTTGCATCGCAATGCCCATCATCTGATCCACTGCTGACGCTGGGAGGTCCGCTTGAGCAGCTGCGAGTGGGCGGTAGGTCATCCATGTCCGGCTCCACTTGGAGGCGGCTGTCCAGGGCTTGGCACTGCAGCCGGACCTCCACCTGGCTGTGGTTCAAAAATAGGTGCCCAAAATGGAACCCGGCTAAGTGGCAACATGGACCAAAACCTGCGGTCTCCCCTGGTTTAATTTTGACCCACACCCACCTGGCACAAGCAGCCGTAGCCCTCCTCCTTCCCCTTACCCAGGCCCAGCGCCGCAGCAGCACGGCCCGCCAGGGATGACAGCACTGGAAGAAGGTCCGCTGCACGGGCAGTTGCTTCCACACCGGCGGTGCCTTCGCACTGAGAAACCGCCCGTCAATCTAGGGGTTGATTCCTTTTCCATTCTTTTCAGCCATCGTTCTTTTCCCAAACCAGCCATTTTTTCAGGGTGTTTGATGGTTTTCTAAAGAGAAGGATCCCTGGAAAGAATGGCAATGGAAGTTTCCCCTAGAATCAACATCAGGGGTGACACGAACCAGGGCTCCAGGCGCTCAACCTCCGAGCCAGGGCTCCGCTCCACTCGGAGGACGTGGCAGTGATCCGGAGCCCCGCGGCATTGCAGCAGCGGCCCTGCTCACCTCGAACGGATTCGCGCTGGAAGACTCGCCAACGCGAGTCTGATGCCCACCATGGGTGTGTCTCAAAATTAAAGGCCTAGGGTTACGCAGATGTTGGTCTTTGGTTCCGTTTGCCAAGGTGTCATTTTGGTACATGGCCATGGGTCAAAATCAATCCCCACTAAAATAAGGACTAAAATGGGTGGTGCACCTACCCCGAAATGGGATCCCATTGGTTTTGACCCACAGCCACATTTGTTTCAGCCGCAGCCAAGCCAATTCAGCAGGGCGCAAAGCTGCCGCACGGCGCTGTCCGCCAGATCTGAGAGCACCTCCAAGAACTCCTGGAAGCCCGCCAAGCCTTCGCACCGCGTGCCCACCTATGCGGAGAGCTACCAAAGCCGAAAGGCACATTGTGGGCGTGTACATTGTGAGTGCCCTGTGGTTCTGTCCCTGACATCTTTGACTCGCTCCGTGCCGACTGACGTGCCTCCAGGGCAAATGTGGCTGGTGGGGGAGGCTGCTGCGCGCGACCCTTGCTCGCACTTCCTGGGTTGAAGGGCAGGCGGGGTTGCCAGGTGAGGGCAGGAGATCCAGTCAAATCAAGTCAAGCCGCCACTGTCTTCCAAACTGATGCACTCCATCTGCTTTTGCTTCTTGCGAGGCGGACTTTCCTCTGCCTTCTCCAGTCCGGAACTTGTCTGCTCCGCTGTCATGCGAAGGCACGAAGCTGGAGCTGACACTGACGGAGGTTCATCCAACCTGAACAAAGGGAACAAATCCCACTGAGCCATGCAGAATCTGCCAAACGAGGAAGCAACATGTTCACCAGCGCCTGGCAACAAGTAACCCACTTTCGACCAAGCGGCTTCGCACTCGAAGCAGCATCCGTAGCAGCTGCTTGGCCTACAGCCATGAGAGCGCAGCTCCGAACGCACCGCTCAAACCCTGAGATGAGGTGAAGACCCTGGGTGGACTCTGTCCTCAGCTCAGCCAAATGGAAAATTCAACTGATAGGTCCATCATGGCCATGATTCAGCAGCAGTTTTGAGCGACTGCATGTGACATGAGCCTTTGCACACCCATATTAAGCCGACTCCTGGCAAGGGGGTCCATCGAGCCCCATGAGCCTCTCCACATAGGCTACATGGCCATCCACCATCTGTACGTAACTCAGCGAGGCATCGACATTGCGATAGACCATGCCAACATTTTCGAGATGCGACCTTGCTTCAAAGGCCTCTGGCGACGCATTCTTGAAGAAATTCCCGAAAACCATACGAGCATAGTCCACAAATGCGAGGCGGTAGAGGTGCCAAGCCTGGTCGAAGGAGAAGGAGCCAGCACTTCGACCTTGCTTTTCAAGGGCGTGCACCAAAGAATCGTAGTACAGCCTCACAATCTCCTCTTCGCCGCCCCATACGGACAAATCAGCCGAGTGCGGAAGAATCATGGCCACGTCAGCCATACTAAAGCCAACGCCAGTCCACTGGAAATCAATGAGCACGGGCAGGTCAAAACCCGATGAAGGCAAGAACATGTTCATCGCCTTGGGGTCGCCATGCACCAGGGTTGCAAATGCTTGATGCGGAGCTGGTTGCAGCTGCGAGGACACCCATTCCGCCACCGCTTCCAGCCTTTTGGCAAGATTGACCATGCGTAACTCACCCAGCACGTCCGGCGCGTGCGGACGGAATGCGCCCAAGTACTGCTCCCAGTTCGGCTGCATCCGCTGCAATTCCGAGCTGTGCCGATTTTGGAGGGTCCAGTATGTCCCAGTGGGGTGCAGTCGCTCGGAGGCCCTGGACAACAGCTCCAGGTCCTCCCAGCTGGCGGCATGAAAGTGAGCCAATGCCTGTAGGCTCGCCCTCAGCTGCTCGGCTGCCAGCGGGGATGTCTGTACATATTGCCCGGCATCCACACATTCCAGGAGCAAAATGTAGCCGCATCTTCTCAGGGCTGCTTCTTCTTTGGCCAGGTCAGCATTGTCCAAGCAATGAAACTGCTCATCCACCAACGGAGCCCGAAGTAGTGGCACACCTCGGGCACGCAACTTCGCCGCAAATTCTGTGTAGAAACGGGCCTCGTTCCGGTTCGACTCCAGGTCCTTCCGCAATCTGTCCAGATTCTTTGGCGGCGCACTTCCGGCAAATACTTTCTTCATGTACAGCAGGGCGGGCCCCACGCCCGTCAAGAAGAGCTTCAATTGCACCGAGTGCGACTGCGGCCACCGCTTCTCCGAGTCAGAAACCATCTCCAGCGATGCGACGTGGGTCGAAGGCAGCGGCTGCTGTGCCGGCTCGGCTCTGCGGAGCACCTCTGAGAGCCATTCGGCATTGAGCTCCTCACCGCGAAACCCTTCAAGCAACTTGCCCTCTGCCGTAGCCATGGCCCGGAGAAGCAAAGGCTGAAGAAACAGGCTCAAAGTCGTCCGCCTTCGCCGCAAACTGGCCATCCAGGGTCTGAAGACTCTGAGACTCTACAGCTGTCTCTGGAAACCGCTGCAGTTCCAAGCAGGGGCAATGCCAAAGGGTGCGGATTTATTTTGGGATTTTTTTTCGTTTTTTTCTGGGAATTTTTTTCCCGTTTTTCGTCCGGGCCAGCAAAGTGTCGTATTTTACAGCATTTTCTCGCGAAATTGACGCATTTCACTAGCTCGTCAACATCCCCAGCATCGTTTTCAACATCCCCCGCATGTCCGACCAACATCCCTAGCATCACTAACAAATGGTGGGTAACAAAATCCAAGAAAAACAGAGCGGGGTAGTGATGATTCGAACAGGGGTGCAATTAAATCTCTGCAAAAAGTCTAAAAAGTAGCGGGGGGGTTGGGGGGGGCGGCAGCCCCCCCCCATGATGTTCGAAGAATTGATGATTCAACTAGGGCAACCCCCCCATGATGTTCGAAGAATTGATGATTCAACTAGGGGTGCAACTAATTAAATCTCTGCAGAAAATCTAAAACGTAGCGGGGGGGTTGGGGGGGGCCGGCAGCCCCCCCCATTGATGTCGGAAAAACGCCACCTGCCAAAGAGGAACTGGGAATGCAGAGGATGCGAAAAGCCGAAAAGCCTAGAAGCCCAGAAGCCGAGAAGCCAAGAAGCCGAAAAGCCAGAAGCCAAGAAGCCAAGAAGCCAAGAAGCCAAGAAGCCAAGAAGCCAAGAAGCCCAGAAGCCGAGATGCCGAGAAGCCAAGAAGCCAAGGCCAAGAAGCCAAGAAGCCGAGAAGCCAAGAAGCCAAGAAGCCAAGAAGCCAAGAAGCCAAGAAGCCAAAAGCGAAAACAATTCCAAAAAAAAACGAAAAAAAATCCTAAAATAAATACCCCTCCAATGCCAAATCTGCTTGCCAAGCATGCATGCTTTGCAGCACCTGCCTCACCATTCAAGCCAAGCTTCTTACTGCTGCCCATGTAAGAGAGCATGGAGGAGGGAGTTGAAAGGCACGCGGGCATGTAGCCTGCCATCTGTGTCATGCAATTCTGCATGTGAACCGCCTGCCACTCCGCCCATGACAGGCAGCACAACGGCGCCAGGGAAACGAAGCTCCGGAAGGCCTTGTTGGCCGCATGATGACACAGGCCGCATCAGTGGACATGCGTGGTGGGCCCCCAAAATTTCCCACTTCCCCCCCCAACCAACAACTTCCTGCCACTCCTACCAAGTCTGTCGCTGATTCAGGCAGTGATTTGCCCAAATCAAGCACCCCATCATTTGATGGGTGTTTCTCAAAATGCTGGATTCCCTTTCACTTGGTAATCTGTCCAGATGGGTGCTTCTCAAATTGCTGGACTCCCTTTCACTTGGTTTTTCCCCAGATAGCTGAAAGCTATAGCGCTTCTAACTTCTAATAACGAGGGGAAAGTGATTTGCGAGATTGATGGGCTGGTGCTAGGGGGCGGTGCTGTTTGAGGTGCTGATGGCAGTGCGTGCACATCTTTTCAAGATTGACGGTAGGGCGCTAGGGGGCATGCAGTTTGGGGCCCTTGTGCAGGTGCTGTTTGGGGGGTGACGGCGCGCGCGCATTTTTGCATCTTGAAGGTAGGAGGGGGGAATGCAGTTTGAGGTGCTGCTGCTGATGGTGCTGTGGGACGCAGTTTGTAGGGAGCTGTTTGAGGTGCTGGTGACGGAGCGGGCGCATTTTGCGTATTGACGGGTGCTATCGGGCATGCAGGTGACGGTGCAGGCGCGTGTTTGCATCTTGACTGTAGGGTGCAAGGGGGCATGCAGCTTAGGTCGTGGTTTGGGATTCTGTTTAGGGTGCTGGTTGATTTTGGCAAGATTGACGGCTGGGTGTCTTGCTCTTCAGGGTGGTGCGGGCGCATTCTTCCTCGATTGACGGCCGGGTTTTACTTGGGGCGTTCTTCGGGGGGTGCTTTTGGAGGTGCTGGTGCGCAAGCGCTATCTGGAGTCTATGCTGTTTTTGTTTTTTGCCAGGGGAACGCAAGCACAGGGCGGTCTTGCGGGACCGAGTGAGCCAAGCGGCGGCGCTTCTCCTTGACGCAGTCCAGCACCCAGGTCGAGGCCACCACATTCACCCGCTTGGCGCGGCGCTTCAGCTGGGCCCAGGTCTGGTTCCCGGAGGCCAGGTTGTCGGCGATGACGTGCGTCACATGCGTGAAGCCGTACTGCTCGTAGACTCCTTGAAGCCAACATCTCTATTCAGACCCTTTTGTTGCTAAGAGTCTTCTGTTTCAAGGGCAAGGAAAATTGATTGCTTTTCGGGGTTAGGAGGGTATGTGGTAGACTCCTAAAACCAACCAAACACACGACCTGGTTTGGCCTCCAAGCTGCGGAAACCCCCAAGATCTGAAAGTGCTCCTGTCGCGTTCCCCTTACCAAAAAGCGCCCGGTGCGGCACACAGCTACCTGTAAGCTGAGGCTCCGCCGTGCTCGACGATGATGCGTTTCAGCTCTTGGTCAGGCAGGCACGTGCGCCCCGTCATCCAGAAGCTGAGTCCAGAGAAGATCGCCGGCTTAGATGAGCAACCTTGGGAAAAGCCCTCACTGGGAAGGGCCGACTTGAGCCATTTTGGGAATTCACCGCCCTGATATGCCCCTGGTTATAACAAAGCCATGATGTTCTTCGTATCTCCATCTTCAAAGAGCCCCAATTGGCTTTGCACGCAGGCCTGAGCCAGCGTCCGCTGCCGCCGCAAACTGCTCTTTGAGCTTCCGATTCTTCTCCACCATGTAGTCCTCAGGATGGGCAACCAAGCTGGCCCCCAAGCCCGGCGAGATCGTTGCGCGGCCGAGCAGCGCCGAAAGATGCCTCAGCGCACAAAAAAAAAAAACGGCTGCACTCGCTCATGGTGCGTCCCGTGGCGAGAAGGAACAGCCGATGGCCAAGGTGCGAAGCCGCCGCCTCCGAAGAGCTTTCCAGACTTTTCGGGGGCGGCATCTCCGGCCTTGCCCTTTCCTGCACCACGACTTCGACCCCTAGAGCCTCTCTCGCTGCGTGCACGCGTGCCTGCCTTTACCCTTCCGAGGAGCGCCCATGGGGAGTGGCCGCACTGCATTTGCCTACTGATCCGCTTCGGAGCCATACGGCTGCGACCTGCGGCGCTCATTTGGCTGCACAGCCGCGCCAGGTCTGAATGGGGGTGGGTGTCAACAGCCGATCCTCGGTCATGATGACCCGGCCAGGCTGCTGGGCACAAGCCGCGCATCGCCGTCCTGCCATGTGGCGTGTGTCAGGCCCACGTTGTGCGCAGGCTTTTGCTGCTGTAACGACCACATGGTCGTAAGTCGCAAGTTGCGAGGGCAAAAAAGCCGGGCGACAACTTGACATGATACGAGCCTTCTTTTCCACAGTTTGCTTGCGCAGCTGGCGCAATTGTGCTGCCCTGCATACGGACTTCGACATGTAATACGCTCCTGACAAACTGCAATGTTGCAACAAACCTATTACTCGCACCTTGCACAACCCATTGCTCTCCATGATTTGGTAGCAGTGGGCACCTGCAGCACAGCCTTCCCATGCATCAAGGCGCTCATGCCCGGTTTACTTCCAGCCCCCTTCCTGCTTTGGAGAGAAAAACAAAAACACAACAACCATGACGACTATGCTGCTGACAAACTGGCAGCAAATCGTTCGCCGACCTTGGTGGTGAGGGCACTGACAAGCCGCCTGTATGCAGCTCTCACCCCGACATTCCTCCACGCAAAGACAGGCACAGGCACTGGAAACCGAGCAAGATACGATGTCCAGAACTTCCAAAGGCTCCCGGTGTCCGAACCTCGGGTCAGATTTCACGGACAGCTCTGCTCTCAAACTCTCAAACTCTCAGCCGATGGGCCGGCATCCGTGCACACGATGCACAAGCGGCTCGAGTCCTGCAGTACCTCGGCAACTCCCAAAGCATACGTGCTGTCGGGCCTGATGTTCATTTGTGCGAACTCTCATAGCATGCGCGCAAAAATATATCGCCGAGCGCCTTGAGGCCGCTCTGGCTGAAGCTGCCATGAGCCTAGAACCCAAGGAGACATCAGTCACAAAACAAATGCTGCCCAACTTGCACTTCACAGCCGAATCTGGTCTGACGCTTATTGTTAATGCCGCATGCTTTTTCTTCTTTTTTTTTTCGAAACTTTGGCAATCCTTGACCATCTGATGACAAAGCATGCATTAGTGACGAATACTTCTGACTTCTTGCTCTTGGGTCATGCCCTCACTTGGCTTTGGAGAATCATTCGGCAGCTGGATCTACCACTTCTTCCTCGGACTCCTGCTGCGGTTCCTGCCTGACTTCCCGCCGGACTTGCCACCTGACTTCCCGCCATGCGTCCAGCACTCTCCCATCTGGCACCATTTGCAGCTGCCGCCGCCTCCGCCGCCTCCGCCTCCGCCGCCGCCCTTGGAGCCCTTCCCGCCCCCGCCGCCCCAGCTGCCACCTCGCCGATATCCGCCGCCACGCCGGGCCATGCTGCGGAGCTCGTCGCTGACATGCTGGTTTGTGCTTTCCATGACCTGCGGGGAATGCGCAACCGAGAGCAACAGCGCGCGTCTAACGCTACGCATTCATGAAGCAGAACTGCTCTTTTTCTGAGACGCCCCAAGCACGGTGCGCCCTCTGTGCCTGGATGATGCCCGACACCTTTCCGCCGTCCTCGGGCGCAAGGAGCGTCACCGCGAAGCCTTTGACTCCTGCTCGTCCAGTGCGGCCAATTCTGTGGACGTAGTCCTCTGTGTTGTTTGCCTTGGTCAGCCAAGGCCAAGCGTTCAAGCACCAGGCTGCGCCCATTTGATCCAAGCTACAGCATCATAGTTCGCAACTAGGCCTTGCAGGCAGCGGTCGTTGCTATGGCATGTGATGGCAGGACTCCCGTTCAAAGCTCCCGCCTGTCACCCAAACAAATAAAACAAGCCGCGAACTCAAACGCAGATTCGTTGCCCACAGCTACCGTTGTGCTTGTGCTCCTGCTTATCCATTTACGTACTTGTTGACCAATTGGTTTTTCTGTCTGTCCATCTGCCTGCTTGTTCATCCATGCATTTGTTTGCGCATTTATCTGTCCATCCGTCTGTCCACCTGCGCATATGTACATCTATCTCTACCTACCAGCCAACCTATCCATCTAACCTTTTCTAATCTCTTCTTGCCTACCAACCTATCAATCTATCTCTCTTGCACTGTGTATCTCATCTGACCTAATCTAGTCTCATTCATTCTAATCGGGCTATCTCTCTATCTCTCAGTCCCTCTATCTTTCCGTCTATCTATCTATCTATCTACCTATCTATGTACAGTATATCTCCCGTCTGCCGTTCAGTCCCTCTATCTCCCTACCTATCTATCTATCTATCTGTCTACCTACTTGCGTCTACCTATCTGTATTTTCTGTCTATCCAGCTCCCGGTCTATCAATCTCATCTACCGGTCTACATATGTACTAACCTAACCCAATCTCATCTATCTTCACTGGCTTGTCTTATCCAACCTATCCACCTACCTATCTAACCCAATCTTATCCCATGTAACCTGTCCATCTGTCTATCTAGTCAAAGTTCACCTAATCTAGGCTATCCATGTTTCTAGCTCATGTACTCTACAAGCTACGCATCTTGCCAACTATCTGTCTATCTATCTGTCTATCGCACCTGTCGGACCGATCTAAGCTGAGCAAGCTATAGCATCTAACCTAACCTAGCCTAACCTAAGCTAACCTAACCTGACCTATCTCTATATATATATCTATCTATCTCTTTATCTATCTACCTTCTACCGGGTAACCAATCAACCTCATCTTTCTATTTATCTGCGTATCCCTCCTATCTATCCACATATCTGTCTACCTGTCTACCTGTCTACCTGTCTACCTGTCTACCTGTCTACCTGTCTACCTATCTATCCATCTATCCATCTATCGATCCATCTATCCATCTGCCGATCTATCTAGCCATCTATCGATCTATCTATCTGTCTATCGTTCTTTCCATCTATCTTTCTTTTCTTCTAAGCTATCTATGGCGCTGTGCCTGCCATCAAACTGGATTACAGTGCTCCAAAGTGCTGCGCCTGTCCAGAATGATTTCGACGGATTGTGACGAACTTTCAGCTTGCCAAAGCGAGCCGATAGCACGACAGGGCCAAAGAGGCCCCCAGACCCCTTTCTATTGCGGGAATCCTTCTGCCACGCAATTGGGAAACACAGGGAAACACAGAGCCTGCACTGCGCTTGCAGGCAAGCTGCCAATGCCCTTGATGTCCAGCCCACGTGCCGCAACGTCAGTCGCGCATAGTACTCGGATGCGGCCACTCTTCAGGCCATTCAGGGCTTGGTCGCGCTCCCGTTGATCCTGCCGTGCCGAGCCACGGCAAAAGCCTGTGCAGCACGCAGCCTTTTGATAGCCTGCGGAGCCTGTATGCCAACCAGAGCTTCCGTCCTTGTCGCCATGAATCGCAGCGCAGGAAACACCGCCAGCCATGAGATTCTGAGCTAGTTCCTCGCACATCCGCTTCGTGCTGGCAAACACCAGGCACTTTCCAACAGCTCCTGCCATGCTCCAAGCGGAAGTAGCAGCACAAGATTGGAATGGCAGCGTGCTGGGCATGGCACTGTTGAACTCAAAACGAAGGCAACAGCAACTGAACAATTCTCTGTCCCGCCTCTCTCCATTAGTCCAGCTTCCCTCAGCAGATCTAAGATGGCAGCCTTCTTGGCGCGTGAATCGGAGACTATGCGCACTTGCTGCGTGACATCCTGAGACAATCCCATGCCGAGCAGTCGGGATCTCAAGCTCCATAGGCTTGCGACTCATCCATCCAGTCCTGGTTTGCCTTGAGCTCATCTCGGTTTCCAATCATCACCCGGGCCGGTTGGTGCAAAATCGTGCTCGCCAGCTGCCGGACCTGCAGGGCACTGCCCCTCTGCGCAACCCGGAAGCCAGCTGGACTGTGGCTGGACGCAATCCTGCACCACTTTGAAACCATGGGAAACCATTGTTTGTTGGTATGCTCAGGGGAAACATCAGTCCAGGGTGTCTTAGGTGATGCAGGATTCGTCCATCCACCGTCTTGCCGTGAATCCGTGCCCCCCGGACCTCCTTGGGCCACGTGGCAGTGAAGAACATCGTGTGGCGGCTCTTGGGCACATGCTGCAGGATCTTCTGGATCTGGGGCTCGAATCCCATGTCCAGCATGCGGTCGGCTTCATCCAGCACCTGCGCCATGGGGCCAAGATGCAAACGCCACACCGGCAAGCTGCAAGCTTCAGCCAGGGCACAAGCTTTCGCACTCTGTTGACCTGACATGGGCTACCACTTCAGAGAGGAAAAAAAAGGCTTCTGCATCCATCCCCCGATCAACTGTCAACAGCAATACACTCAGAAAGGGCTATTTGTTGCCAAGTCGCTTGAACTTTGCCACTCTCTATCAGATCATTCAGGCGGCCAGGGCAGGCAATAATGCTGTGAACTCCCTGGCGGAACTTGTTGAGCTGATCCCACTTGGGAGCACCTCCATACATGGACACCTCAGCGTTTGGCCGACCCCAAAAGGCGCATGGCCCGCTGTGGCCGGCCACTCCGCCATGGCAACTTCCCCTCCCACATGCCAAGACAAGATGCACACCACATCCCCACGCACTTCCCGAAGCGATTGGCTTCTGCCTGGCCGGGTAACATGTCATGCGTAGCTGGGGCGCCAAGAAAGCGAAGGTTCAACAAAATCAAGGGCCGTTGCAGAGGTACCTGCGCACGACTTGCGCACATTTTACAGATAGATTTAGATGCCCCGCAAGTGGCGCAGCGATTTGCCCAAGAAACTACTGGCAGGCAGCTGTTTCATACACGTCAGGCTGAGAGCCCGGAGCAACCCCAGGCTGCGCCTCAATCTGCTGGGCCAGCTCCCGGGTCGGTGACATCACCAGAAGCCCCACTCCGTCCCTGGTCGGCTGGTGGCCTGGTCAAGCTGCCGGGTAACCCACCTGAGAATAGACACTCAAGAAATCGCCGAAAAGCGAGGGGAAAAAGAGAAAAAACAACGCTGACTGCACTGTCCAAAGGCCGAAAGTCGCCAAGGATGCTATGCGTAGGTCATGCATTAACGTGGGACTGACCAACAGATACCGTTCAATGAGGGATCTGGCAGAACGGGAAACTCCGCTCCATTCACCCGCCGCAGCCCACGTGTCGCTCCCCAAGCCCTGTCCGCGCGCCTGACTTGTAAAAGTCGCCTTGGATTCTGAGACTACTTAAGTGTCAGAGTGGGCGCTAGGACAAAACTTGCATGACCTGCCACTATGAAACGATGCAGACCAAAGCGCTGAATGCTGGCAAAAGGAAAGCCAAAGTCTTCCCGCTGCCCGTGGCCGCAATCCCAATCACGTCCTGAGCCGCGCGGCTCAGGTGCGACAAGGACAGCTTGCGGCTCCAATGTGGCCATGGGTCCAAATCCCGTACCCCCAGTGAACGTCCCAATCCCAACAAAAATAGACCAAAAATGGGTGGTGCACCTACCCCGAAATGGTACCACTGGTTTTGACCCACAGCCATATGGTATCACCCCCACCCACCCACCCACCCACCCACCCACCCACCCACCCACCCACCCACCCACCCACCCACCCACCCACCCACCCACCCACCCACCCACCCACCCACCCCCACCCACCCACCCACCCACCCACCCACCCACCCACCCACCCACCCACCCACCAACGCTCAGCTCAAGATTTTCTGGTCGGCGTGGCGGTCCTTGCCCATCATCGCCAATGGCCACGTGAAGGACTGGATCTGCGACGGCGCTGGGAAGCTCTTCTTGAGCTCTGCCAGTAGCGGCGGCGGGAAGTGCACCTTCAGTCGACGTGGCAAGTAGGGGGAAGACGCTGAGCTGGCACAGTCAGTTTTCCCTGAGCTCTCCTCCAGTCGCTCCTGGCTGCACATCTAGTCCACTAAAGTGCGACAAGGTCATGGCAGCATGTTACATGCTGTCTTAAATCTGGCGAGTGCTGCGGGCTGTCTGGTGGCTTTGTTTTTTATCAAGCCCGCCCTTCACTTTGTACATTCGCAGCTACGTTTATGGATGAGAAGCCAAACTGCTCGCTGTGCAAGGGGCTGACAATGCCATGTTTGAACACTAGATCTCAATGGCCACCATGAAATGTCTGGGCCCGGAAGCCAGTGCAGCCGAGCGGCACATTGATCAAAGGACCAGAGCTTTTGCACTGGCATTGGATCTGGGCAAAACGATTTCAAGGCGATGGCAAACTCAACTTCCAGATCAAACCATTCCAGTGACGAGGCACACTCATTGAAGTCAACAATCCGAATGTCGGAGTCCTGCAGTCAAAACACAAAGTCAGCAATGCTAGTCAAAGACTGGAAAGCTCCTGGACGGTTTCGCCCGCAGTGCCGGCGGCCGCCGCGGTGCAGGCTTGCGCAAGCGTCATGGGCGCACCTCACATCATCTGCTCTTCCATACTTTCATCCCCTCCTCCCCCCCTCCCCCCCTCCCCTCTTCCCCTCTTCCCCTCTTCCCCTCTTCCCTGCCCTCCCAGAAGCCCTCCCGCGTTCCAGGCACTTCCCGCAGGAGCTTGGCCTGCAGGAGGGTGTCCCGGCCTCGGCTCGCCGCTCCACTACTCCACTGTGGCCACTTGGCGGGCTCAGCATAGAACAGCCAGCCAGCCAAAACCCCCGCTCAAATCACAGACAAGCTGCCACTGCGGGGCTGGCTGCGCCATGCCCGGCACCGGCTGTGGCATTGGCTGTGGCACCTGCCCTGCCGCTGCAGCAGCTGCGTAGGCTGCGTGGGCCGCATGCGCTTGGGCGGCGTGTGCTTGGGCCGCCTGTGCGGCCGCCTGGGCGTAGGCATCGTAGCCCGGCCACTGCGCTGGCGCCCCATATGCCTGGCCAAGATGCAAAAGTGCAGATGCCATGGTACAAGAGTGCAGGTGCCATGGAAAGAATGAATAATACTGCGAACACCCATCATGACCTTTTGCCCTGAACTCCGTGCCTGCATGGGCTGACCATAATTCACCGCAGGCATTGCGGCCATTTTGAAGCGATCAAGTCGAAGGCGGGGATGCTCTGATCACAGCGTCATGCCGGCCTCAGAATTTGCGCATGGAAGGTGGGGCAGGCCACACCCTTGCACACTCTTTGCTCTGACTCTGCATCTTGGCGGCGCATACTTCATCCAAACTATGTGGTGATAGAAACACTTTGGGCAACACGCGGCGGCATGCATATCAAGCTCTTCATGCGCCCTGCTTGCTTCAGAAGCTGGCTGCTTCGACAAAAAACATGTGGCGCACACGCACAAACAGCCGGCAAAAAATTGCGAAGCCTTCAGAACCCACGGCGTGCCGACCTTTGGCGCCAGTCCCTGCCAGAAACTCTCAAAGCACAACCATTTGGGTACGGGCCAAAATAAAAAGCCACCAGGGGAGCACAGGTTGTAGTATTTACTAGGGTTCCATTGGGGGTACCCATTTTCGACCCACACCCATTTCAGCGCGCGGGCCTCCAAACATTTTGCGACCTTGTACTCCTCCACCTGCCATCTCATCAGTGACAAGCGCAAATGGCTGGGGGGAAAAAACAGCCTGTTCGAGTATGGAGGCCGTGAGGACGGCTTGGTTGGAAGCCTGGCAAGGTTTCCGCTTCACTCCGGTCTGCCTGATTCCTTTTTGCAGGGCACCAAACTGTCGAGCCTCGGCAACGCTCTCGGAGCAGGAAAACCTCGGCGGACAGGTCGTGTTTGCAGCACGGCTCCGAGAGACATGACGTCTGCCGTCTGGCAGCTCTCCAGGCCACGCATATGTGACACCACCTGGGCCCAAGTTCAGCTGGCGAAGCAATCCACATGGCCACAACAGGCCTTGCAGCCACTCGCTGAGGTGTTGGAACCAACCGGCATCTACGGTACGCACCTTGGAGCGCTGATCGCCCATGCTGAAACCGAGCGCCGGGATTTTGCCCTCAGCATTCTGAGGGCAGCACCAAAACATTGGATCGGTGTAGGCCCTGCGAACAATTCAATTGGACCCTTCAGAAGATGAGCATGCGGCGCACCTGGTGGAAGAGCTGGTTCTGTGCACATACCACGGGTCTCTTGCCTCAGCGGAGGGAATAGGTTTGAAGCTCACGTCACAAGATTCTGGAGGTCTCCAAAACCGCCACGAAGCAATCGAATCGAAACTCGCTCCTCCTTGGGGCCGCGGCTCCCATCGGCACGCTCCACCGTGGGCGGCGCAACGGCACCGCAGGGGAAGAGCGAGACGATGTATCTGACCACCTACTGCAGGCTTGGCCCCCAGTGGGCTACAACCGACCTAGTGCAGCCAGTCACCAGCCTGGCGTACATCCTCTTCTGACATGTCGTGGCGCACCACGAAGCGCGCGATGACCCCCAGCGCCACGCCAAGCCTGCCATGGCAAAGCTAACGGCTCCCCCCTGAGAAATGCGAGGGGTACCATCAAGACTGAGTTGAGTGGTGAATCTAAGATTAAGTATCAGCAATAGTAAGTTTGTTGTGGACGATATTTTGGGTCATACATGCCGTCTGACCCCATTGTTCAATGTGATATGTTTCAGTTGCGGACTTTTCAATGACCGTAAGCCTACCCATATTATGGCTCCGGTAGTACGGGGTAAGCGCAAAAGAAGCTAACTCCTTTTTTTCCCATTTGCACTGCTGTGTCCGGCTGCTGTCATTCTAGTTGCAAGTGTCAACGCAAACCCATGGCTCTGCTGCGTCCGGGTCCAAGGTCTGGCATTCATCGTCTTCAACGCAAAGAGAGCCGTGCTCGAGTACCGGCTTCCTTGGCTTCTCTTGTGACTCTCCGAATTCTCTGACAGCTGCAAAAAAAGGACCAACCGGTCGCTTACTCAAGACTCTAATCATGCCACACCTGGTCACCTTGAGCAACGATCATCTTCATTCCTGTTTTCTCCTTTCCGGAAATCTTTCGGGAGCCTATTGCAACATAACTTGCAGGGCTCGCAACCGAGACACTTGGCATCAGGGGAGGTATAACACCAGGCACCTGCGGCCCCTAGAGTAGCAGCGGTTTTGAGGCCTGAGTAGGTGGAGCGCCAGAAGCCGTTGGAGCAGTCGCTCCAGCACTGGCCATAGCGCGGCCCCGACATCCCGCGCCGCCCGGCATTGGTGAGCAAAGGAATCCCAGACTCGGCGAGGGCCTCCAGCGGGAATTTCCGCGTTGAGTTCCCAAAGTCCAACTCTGCGGTCAAGAAATGGAGATCCACCCCCACGATCTTACCAGCTTGGCCCGCAAAGAGCTCCAAACTCTGCGCGTCGGGGATCATGGCCGCCGCGGCGGACGCCAGGATGGCGTCTTTGCCAAGGACTTGGACGCGCCTGCCTGGCAGCGCCTCTATACTCATCATCAAACTTTGAAGCTCAACTGCTTGATCCACAGCAGGCCTGAACGGCTCCACGCAGGCGGAGACGCAGTCTGAGGCTCCACCACACTGGATCTCACAAGCTTTCTCCTGCGAGCCCCAGAAGTCCAGATCTTTGGCCTTGCAGCCATGGGTGGGATTCATTTCACCCATCTGCAGCGGCACAAAATCGATCACGGTCCAAGACTCCTCGGAGAGCAATGGAAGTCGCCTGGCGTTCATGAATCCTCCGACAATAACAAATGTCCGCTCTTTTCCCTTCACGAGCTTCCATTCAGAGAACTTGGACTGCATGGCGATGAAGTATTTCTCAGCTGTGGCAAAGGTCATGACCGTGCGATTGACCTTGGAATTCAAGCACATGGCAATTATCACTCTTATGCCTTGCGGTTTGCAGCCAAACTGCCAATTGGAGAGTTCGGTACAACAACCTCAAGTGGTCCGAATCCTCAAAACTCGACTTTCGTACAGGCCACGTCCGTTTCCGGGAAGCTGGCGCGGAAGCTTCGCAGCACCGCCTCCTCCTTGACCACTTTGCTGAAAGCCACGAGTCGCTCCGGGCCAGTCGTGAGCTGCTGCAGGGGGCTCTTTGGAACAACACACCTCTTGTCGCTCTCCTTTGTGTCCTGCCAAGAGAGACCCCCTCACCCTGCCATTGTTTGAAGTGTAAGAAAACATGGAACACGTGTGAAAGATCCGATCTACCGGCTGAATGTAAAGGTGTGGCTTACGCGCGAGATCGTACCTTGTCCTGCCAAGAGTAGTAGCCATCTCCAGCAGCGGAGCAACCCGACCCGAATCGATACCACGAGGTGCTGCTTGGCACGAGCTCACAAACAATGCTGGAGGCAGTTGGCTTGGTGCAGCAGCATAGATAGTCCCCGCTCTCAAAGCGCGCCGTGTCCTCGCAATATCTCGACCGAACATACAATTCAGAGAGCATGATGTCTTGCGACTCTGGGCACTTCTGGACGTTTGTCAGGCTAGTATCAGGCTGGCCCAGGTTCTATGTTGGAGCCTCCGGCACGAATGCGATGTGACGAGTATGGAGAGTAACAAACATTAGCTTCCCAGGTGGAAACCCATTGTGTGAAACTCAGTGGCGGGGTGCCGGCCGCCCCCAGGGCTGGGAAACAAACTAACTCAGACAAAGAAAGTTTGTTTCTCAAGTAAAAACAAAGGTTTACCTGGCCGAAAACAAGTTAGTTTAGGGGCCCGAAAACAAAGGTTCTGGAGCCGAAAAAGCTAGTTCTTCGGGTAGAAACCAACCTTTTTGGCCTCGAAACAAGCCTTTTAAACGGTTAGTTTCAGCGATGGGAAACTAATGCTTCCAGGGTCGGAGATCACACTTTGTTAGTTTCTTGGGTACCAGCATCACAAATGACACCCCTCGCATCACGAGCAACACCACCAAGTGACTTGGCAGTTGTTCAGCCGGAGACTGCGCCCTGACCGAAACCACACCCAGAGACCGTCTCGATAGGCGGGGCCCCTTCTCCCCCCCGGAGAAGAACAATGGGGAAGGCAATTATTGTTCCATTGAGGGGGAGGGGTTTATGATTGTTCTAACAATGATGGGGGAGAGGGGGGGGTAATTGTTCAAGATTGTGGTTGGGGGGATGCTCGAACAACAACGGGGGGATTGTTGTTGGGGGTTGGGACTACTGCGCAAAAGGGGTGTGTGCTGCTTTCTTGTTTGTAACGCGTGCCTTCTCTTCTACCTGCCGCCCAAAAAATGTTGAATTTGATCGTTTTTCAGGACAATGAGCGTTTTGCCTTCTTAGTTTGAAATTTCATTCGGGTTTGCGGAGCAAACCAAACTTTGTGTTGCTGACGTCGCTTGCATGTTTACGTTCCTTCTGCGTCATGTCATGGGCCGTGCCTAGGATTCGATGTTGGAAATAGGGTTCGTAAAGCGTTCAAAACCCGCTCCAAACCAACCAGTGCGCAAACTGTCCGTACGTCGTACAATTCACGTAAAACTTAACATGCGTGTTCCGAAGTCACCTTGTTGTTCTAAAACCGTTCTGGAACTAAAAACCGATCTGGAGCGCACATTTTCGGACACGAAAACACCATTTCTCCAAGTGGCGCTGAAAAAAGAACGTTTTAGGTGCCTCAGGTAGGGTTTATTGGTTGTTCTAATTCTAATGGGGGGGGTGCGCCCCCCCAACCCCCCCGCTTCTTTATAAAGCCGTTGTTCGGCTTTGTGACCGTTGCTTGTAGTCGCGCGCTTTCTCCAGCACACATCCAGCCCCGTCGTGTCGATCCGCCTGCCCCGCCTTCGCCTCCACTCCGATTCAGGCGGTGCGCTGTTCGTGGAACGCTGGAGTTCCTCTACGTCGTCAATTCAAATCCGACATTATGGGAGAATTCCTTGGCACGCCAAGAAGTTTCGCCTTGTCGGCAGAAGGCGCCTGTGTAGATGATGCGTGGTGAGCTGTTTTGCAGAATGTTCAGTAGTGGGGCTTGTTGCACAGGGCTGCTGAAAGAGCGGAGCGCCCCGCTCGGCGTTGATCGTTTGCACAATGTCATCAGCATGCCCATGAAACTGTTTTCCTTGCGCTGCAACTCGGCAGCCCGCTGCAGCAAGGACTTCAGCGAGTTGGCCTAAAATCGCGTAGTTTCATGAACGTGCTGAAGAGACAGCTCATGCATTGCCTGCAAAGCCCGCGGCGGTAGCGGGCGCGAAACGCCGTTCATGCCTTGCATGTACACCAGCGAGTGTTTGGGAACCAGCACCAGCTTGTTTTCAATGTCTTCTGGTTGACAAGCTGCCAATATCGCCAATATGGCCCCATGAACCCAGTCACCATGCAGTTCGGACCCATATGGAACATCACGAACACTGGCGCCAGGCACCGATAGAGATTCGTATGCCAAGGGAAGAACAGCGATCTGTCTTCCCTAATCTAAATTTGCAAAACCTTTCTGACGCGCGAGGCAGAGCCTCGGTTTGTCCGGCTTGTCAAACAAGATGGGGGACCCGGACAGGGAATCCAACAAAGGGCGCAGGGATTGGCCGCTTCGGTCTCGGTGTCTGCTGTTCAAAGGCTTCTGGCACCCAAAGGCGACCGCGCTGCCGCATGAGACATGGGCTGGGGGGTTGGACTGAAGCAAAAAGAGGGGGGGTCAAGGTGTGGTGCAGGTGACCACCGGTGCGCAGCACGATGCCCTCAAAGCCATGGTCCGCTGTTGAGGGGTCAGGAAATTGGAAATGGTCTCAAGGACCGTTTCGAAGGTAAGCCACGAGCACGTCATCTGTGGCAGGAGGTTCTGTTGCCCGGAACCGCTCACGCACTTCCCCTACGAAGTCTCCGACGGGCTCTTCCTTGTACCAGTGGAGCTCAACACCCAGACCACACCACTGCGCTGCCTACTTTGCTGGATCACCCAGCAGCACATCCAGCGGCAGTTCAACTGGCACAGCGGCGGGTGAGCAAAAATTCGTTCCGGTCGTTGTGGGCAATGCTGGGTGGCTGAAACCCCTGGAGGGTGCTGATGTTGGTGTGGCCGCCAATGGGGCGGGTGTTGGGGACTTGGGAGTGGCCGTGTGTTGCATCAGGGGGGTCGGCATCCTGTTGAAGTCTGGTGCTGCGGCATGTTGAGTGGTTGGTGGGAATTGGGCCGGTCGAGTTGTGCTGCTGGATGGTCGCGGAAAAACATACGTCTCACAAAGGTTTAAAACAAACGTTTCGGCAGACACAACCAACCTTCCTCCGAAACTTGAGCCTGCGTGCAATGAAACAAACTCACAGCCCGAGTTCGCGAAGTGTTTTCAGCCCTGAAACAATAGTTTGTCTGGAAAGTATGCTTTGGTATGCGAAGCTAACCTTCTACCCGTTTCCTTTCAGAGTTTCTCTGAAAACAAACAAACTAAACTCTGCGATGAAACGTTTGTCTTCCAAGTTTCCAAAGTAGCCATTCTGGGGTTTCCGAGAAGTTTCCCACGGCACAGCAAACGTTCACAGGAAGACTGTGTGCGACAGAATAATTTAAACATGAGTTCGGAAGAAACATTTGTGTTCTGTCCAGAGAAACAACGGATCCGTAGACGGCCATAAGCTTGTTTGTCCTGGCGAAACAAATGTTAGGCCAAGCCAATAATTAACTAATGACTTGCTCCCGTGTGGATGTGACACGGCATTTTCCGGCTCGGCCATGCATCTCGAATCGACAAATTGTGTGGACAGCACAGAGGCCACCAAAAACAAACGAGCCTTCCCGGCAGGCAGCATGGCCAAACACAAACGCAGGCACTCGGATACCCAACGAGCGGTGTCCTTGGAACCAAACTTGTGGGTCAAGTCTACCAGAGGCACCTTCTGCGCGTTCAGCTCCTGCCGCAGTTGTTGCATGCCGTTGCGGTCCTCCACTTCTTCCATCTGCTCCCTGGGTCCGAGTCAAATGACCCATTTGCACCACCCCAACATCGCACATCTTCATACTCAAATCTCGCAAACATATCAAACCGAAAATACCCAAAGAATGCCTCAAGAAGTCCATGGAGATCTCGGAGAGGAAGCTGCAGGCCATGGAGGAGAACACGGCGACCCCCCAGAAGGTGGCCGTGGCGGCCAGCGTCACCACCAGGGGCGCCGCCGCCGTGGCCAGCGTGGCCGTCACCGCCGCGCTGGCCGTGAGCGCCAAGGTGCCGGTGACCCCCGCCCCGGCCGCCAGGCCCAGGGTCAATGCCACGCCGTCCTTGGTGACGCCCCAACTCATCTCGTTGACTTGGTACCAGTCGTTGTGATCGTCCTGGATGGTGGCGTGCAGGTCGTAAGCGCCCAGGGCCGCAAAGAAGGAAAACCTCTCCCCAGGCTGCACGTTGTTCTGGGTGTGCGCGTAGACACGCGCAAGCTTTGGAAGAGCCAGCAAGTTCAGCGGCAAGGAGGAGTTGTTGATGATTGAGAAACGCAGGGCAGAGCGATTGCTACTCAAGTTCTCACTCTGGCCGTCTGAATGACGAAATGCAGCAACGCGAGCGACTAGAGCAGCCAGTAAATTCAGCCAGCTTCGCGCCATCGCAGCAAGAAGAAGATTTGTCAAACTATGAGTGCTTAGCTGGCAAGGCAGCAGCAGCGGTTGCTAATCCCGTTCTCCTGGGCCCTATCCTCATTGGGCGGGGCTATGAAAAGTGATATCACCCAGAAAACCTGCCAATCTCCACCTGTTGGGAATTCTGATGAGTTGCCACGACCTTTTAGCTCAGTGCGGTGCCTTCTGTGGAAGTCCGTGGCATCGAAAACGTCCAGGCGCCTGGCTCAGTGCCAAGGGACACCAAGTGGCTGAGTCTGCAGCTCAGCTTCAGGCTTCATGGGGTGCATCAGCTGCAGCAGGACAGACTTCAGCTCATCTACACCCCCTGCCACAGCGCCAGCGTGAATGTAAATGGCTGACATAGCCACCGTCTCCTGCGGCACAACAAAGCCTGCCGTTGTCTGTGCATGGCCGGCGCCTGATCCAGCCTGGTCATTGATGATGCTGCACAGCGTGGATAGCGCTGCAAACCTCAGGAAGCGGCCGTACGCACTACACAGGCCACGGCCTCAGGGCTCAGGCCATTGAAATTGCGAGAGGCTGATGCCGTGAACAGCTCGAGGCGGCTCTCCCTGCATTCAAGCTCGAAAACAAGACTTGGCCCTATGTGCGCTAAAAAAATCTAGCCCGACATGATAATATACATGCATAAATGCAAACATATACATCCCAGACCGCCGTTTCCGCAGCTCTGCCTCGCTGAGTCTTGTTCGGATGGTGGCCTTCAGCTTGGCGATCACTTCCTAACTCCCAAAGCGAACTTCCCCCAACCCCTCTCATAGCCCTCGGAATGCTTTTGCGGCGTCCCATTTGGGGAAATCCAGCGAAATTCGTGGGTTTTGATTGACACAAGGTTGAGCTCACAGAGAGCAAATCCACAGCACCGGACAGCGGAGGTTCGTTCGCAAGGCAGGCCGGTCCTTGCAAACGTCCTCGCCATCAAAACCACTCCGCTTGCAGAATGTATACCTGCTGCCCCAATGAATCGTGCGCACCGAGCCACGGGAGCACGACAAGGAGCACTCGTCAGGGACGCAGAAGCAGTCAATGCTCCTAAGGCATTGACTGCCGCTGGAGGTCCGGTGCCCACACATCTGACTGGTCAAGTCGTATTCATGTTCTTCAGCAGGGCCCCTTGTCATTCGGGTACTCACGAATTTCACGTGCAACACTGGATGGACAACAAATGTTCTAAAACAAAACACGATTTAGGAACGTCGTCTCACCACTCTCGGTGACTGTCAATTCGAGAAACTTGAACCAACACGTAGCAAGAAACTACTAGCATAGTTGTCCTAGGTCTCATCCGTTCATGGGCCTACTGGGAACCCGCGCATTTGGGATGAAGTCAATCCTTGGAATTATGATCCCAAAAGAAACCCTTCCAAAGCATTGTGCCCTGCAATCAGTGCGTCCTGAAATACTCGGCCCACTGTGCCACAGCCTCAAGGCCGACCAGCACCAGGACTCAATGAACTGCCAATCTATTAATTCCAAACGTGAAAACCAGGAATCAAAAGGACCTACATCATACTGAGCTCGTTTTACCCACGGTGAGCCCACGATAAGATAAAAACAAAAGAAAGGATGTCTGAAAAATGCCTCTTGGCCTCATGGCCTCATGCCACTCGCATGTTTGCTTATATCGATGCCATGGAGAGCACACATCCGCCTTCCATGCTCAACCTGGCTTGACCATCGTAGGGGCCCTGCTGCACTGGTGGCAGGCTTCGCATCCTGCGGCTCGTCGTAATTCCTGGGGCATTGGAAGCGCTGCGGCAACGTTGTAGGCAGTAGTTTCATGCTGCTAATGCTGAGGCAAGCCACCAGCGGCCAGCACTGAAGTGAGCCTCGGCAAGGCAGTGCCACCGCTTTTCATCGAATCATAAAACGACGAAGCTCATGTTGGCATGGTCTGAAAGAGACACACTTTGGCCCAAGCTCGCCGAAATGCTTCTGTACACTTGTCCTAGGTCGCATTCTAAGCGCATCTGCACGGCCCTGGTTCGCGTGAGGCTAGGCAGCTGACCGAGTCAAACAAGCCCTCGCTGGGCCTGCAACACTGCAACATACCAAGACAGCTAGCCAAACATCCCACCAGTGCAGCAGAGGCCTGCAGCAGTTCTGCACAATGATCAGTGCTGGTGGCAGCGCGTTGGTCTCGGCCGAAACAGCGACATCAGACAGTTGAGTCAACATTGATCGAGAGGGTCCGTCATGTCTCATGCCAACAGGACACTGAGCCAAAGACAACTCTGGCATTGGCCGCTCTTGCAAATTGCTCACACTCCTCATCCCGAATGGGCTTGCACCCGGTGTGGCCGTTGCTTCGAATGCCCGGACGTCTAAGATCCAGCCTGACACCCCCCTCACACAAAGAAAAGTCAAGCTCTCCTCCAGCGCTCGGCGGCATACAAGCTTTTCCTTCAGGGGGTGGCATGTGTACGAGCGAGAAAGGGCCTGGCAACGATGCAAACTGCCATGATCTCACCAATTTCGTACAGCTGTCCCGGGTAAGGAAGACCACAACCTCAGATGCGCACACAAATCAAAGCAGGGGCTGTTTGGCAGAACGTGTCGTGCTGCTCGCATCAAGATCGTCAAGGCCAAGCCCTCCACATCACACATCAGGTAGGCAATGGCAGGTTGAAAGGACTCTTTGAGCACCTTTGCAGTTGCGCACTGCATAGGTAGTGTTGGCCGAAGCAAAAAGCAAAAACAAATGGAGACTTGGGTGGATAACACCCTGGTGCTCACTGGCGATCGAAAATGCTTCCTTGCAAAAGACAACTTGGGAACTGAAGACGCCTTTTTGGTTGCGCGTTGTGTGCCTCTTTGGCGGCAGGTGATACAACCAACGGGGTTCCAGCTTCTGTTTCTGCAAGTTCTAGAGGCAAAGCCACGGGCACCCACACCCACCCACCCACCCACCCACCCACACACACACACACGCACGCACGCACGCACGCATCCAACCACCCACCCACACACACACACACACACACACACACAGTGTGACTGTCTTGTCAGGTCACGGAAGGTCACAAAAGGTCACAAGACACAGCTGTTGACTGGCTTCCTTTAGCTTCTGTTCCAAAGGGTTTTCCAGCTGCTGTTCGTTGAAATCGCAGGCAGCTGTTGTTCATTGAAACCCCAGCTGTATCTCATTCAGGTCCCAGCTGTTTCGCATGGTGTCCCGTCTGTTCCTCATGGTTTCTCATGGTTTCCCACCCGTTTCCCATGTCGGTGTTTCATAGTGCGTTTCTTATTCTTGTCTTTTTCTTGGTGTTCTCGCTGTTCCTGTTGCTGTTGCTGTCGTGGCTGTGGCTGCTGCTGCTGGTGTTGCTGCTGCTGGTGGTGGTGGTGGTGGTGGCGGCGGCGGCGTTGGTGACGGTGTTTCGACCCCGCCTGCCGTCGCCTGGACTCCCAAGATGTGACATCCGCACATCTTTGCACGACCTGGCATGAGGACTTCTGAACCTTTGGATGGTCACCTTTGAGATCGTTCTTCAGCAGGCATGAGAAGCAACTGCCTTGGCCATGTCCGCAGCATAGTACTGCAGCGGGAGCGTGCCATAGGTCCTGCAAAGTCAAAAGGAGCCAGCCGGCATCACGCGCTGTGTAAGCTGTGTAAGCTCGTGGCCCCTCAAAGTCCACATAATAGATGTGGTCTACCTACAAGGTTGCGCATGCTCTGTTGGAAGGCCGTGTGAGGCCACGGCTGGGTCCATGTACAGGTTGATGTCCGAAGTCATGGACTGCAAGTCCACACCTGCAAATGCCACGCAGCCACGATGCCAGGGCTCACAACTCTTTGGGCTCCCTGCAAAACCATCCCATAAAGAGTACCCTCAAACGAACACAATGCCATGTGAGCAGCGACCAAACTTATTGCCTTTTGGTTCTTCTGATACGGTTCATGAGTTGAAAAGGTTTCTATGGACGTAGAACCGCCCACTAAAATGGCCCATCACGGTTTTGGGCGCTGCTCAAGCGTGTTTTTCCAGGCCTTCGGAAAAACTCTGCTCGAAGCGGGCTGGCTGAGCAGCGCCTTCGCTTTGCAGCTTGCTCACCTGGTGCAAGCAACCTGCTGACCCATGGGCCTATTCAGGGCATGTACGCGGCAAATGGATCATGGCTGTCACTCCTGCCTTTGACAAAAAGCTTAGCGGCTTAAAGGCAAACAAACTGCCGGGAAGCCTTAGCGGCTTGAAGGCAAAAGTGAGGCAGGAAACGCTGAGACCGGTGCCAACCAGCTCTTTCCAGCAGATGTAGCGCCGACGAAACCCACGGCCAACGCTGAGCGCGTGCGATGCGCCTGCAGGGTTGCATGGGAAACATCCAACCGGGGGGGCGGGGGGGGGGATGCAAACATGTCTTGAGCTGCGGCGCTTCAAGGCGGAGGGAAAAAACACATCCGCCTCTCGCACGTGCCGGGACCAGTTCTCGGTGGCCGGCGACAACGCGTACCTCAAGCGCTTGTGTCACTTGCAGCTTGCCGCAAATGCGGTGAGGCGCACCCAGCTTCCCAAACCTTGGCCTTGGAATGGCAGGCATCTTGGCGCTGGCTTGTGGCGCACACACCCAGCCGGGCGCGGCACCGTCTTCTTGCCACACCTCCGCCCAGACAGGATGAAACAGACGAGGCTCCGGACGGCAAGCAAGCTATGAATTTAATAAGGGACCCTTTGGTGGACATCATTATTTAGGTGGGGATTCATGTCCACCAATCACTGGCCAATCACTTTTGAGGTGGTTCCCTATTAAAATTCATGGCCAGCTATCGAGCCGCGGACTCCCAGGTGGGCGTCGGCACGAGGTTCAGCAGCCGCTGTCCGCCGTCCACCTCGTGAGCTCGGCTCGGCTGCGGGAGCGGCACTGCGCCGCCCAAGTCCTCGGTGCGAAAGCGTGAAGAGCGCGCGGGGGAGCTGAGGTGCTTCATCTTGCTGTTCTTCCCTTGGGGTCGTCAGGGATCCGTTGCCACTACCTCAAAAGGATATTTCAGAGTGCTTGGAAGGCTTGTTTCTACCTCCTGCAGCAAGCAAGTCATGGATCTCGCAGCGCGGAGGCATCCGAGCGTTGCGCCGTGCCATATCCGGACATTCTCCGTGCCTAGCTGAACACACCAGCTGAAGCTGCCAAGGAGAGCCTCAGCCTGATCAGGATTTCGCCATGGCGGAGTCGAAGGCTGAAGCTGCTCAATGAATGCTCTTGACGACTTGCAGGATCTGCAAGTTGCATTGTTCAAGTGCTTGGTGCATGCAAGCAGTCTTTGCTGTGTGCATTCTTGCACGGTTGGATGAGCAAATGATCAGGCTAGTTCTGTTTCTACGCAGGTGGTGGCCAAATGGCTGCAATGAAACCGTTTGCAAAGCTGGCGAGGAGCACTCCGCTCGGCTTGCACATTGTGATGCTTGCATTGGCGTTGGCATGTTTTTGATGTTGCTTCCCGTCCACTGGCCGCGCTCGGCGCAGCCAGAGGGCTTGTATCCATGTGGGCGAAACAGGGTGCGCAATCAGTAGTAGATCAAACTGGCCATTGTCAGCCCTACTTGATGCGCCTTAGCAGACGATTGACTCAATGATTTTCTGCAAATCGCTGAGTCTGCGGCATGGCGAGATTGGCAAGCAAAGGGAAGGCCGTACGTGCCTTGCCCGCAAGAGGCCACTTAGCACACGAACGATCAAGTGCACAGGGTGAGCATGCCAGAGCTGCCCATGTGCTTGACGATGTCCTCGATGGTGGTCTTTGTACCCAGCACCTGGCACCACTGCAAAGACTCTGCATCTGGTGGAGTTTTTGGGTGGCAGGCCACGCTCAAGAGGGTGAAAGCGGCGATGAGGAAGCATGCCAGCTGATCGCTCCTGGAATGCCGCTCGCATGCTCTAGTCCAAGTTTCGTCCTGCACAAAAGCAGCGCGGGCCTTGTTATAATGGCCGGCGGGCTTAGCTGAGTGACAGGCCTGAACACTCCCAGAACACGTGTCCGCTGCAGCGATATGACTGAAGCACCTCGAAGGCTGTCCATTGGCCTTAGGCAAGCGGCAAGCAGATTGGCCATGCATCACAGCGAAAGGCACGGACTATTTCGCTGGGCCTCAGAGGCCCAGCAGTGTTGCCACGCGCTTCAAGCAAGCAACCAATGTGCTGTGCTTTGTAGCCAACACTTCGCAGACAGCAGTCGATTCATTTTCACCAGCCAAAGCCAGGAGTCGGAGGCAGAGAGCTGTCGCTGCTTGGAGATGGCTGAGGATCCGCTGGAGGCCCAGAGGGTGGAAATGCAAAGCGGGAAGCTCCTTTCTGGTCCGCCTTTTGGCCAGAGGCACCTGACTGGTCACCAGAAAGTTCCCGGGCGAGGGCTCTGTTCTTTAGTGCCCCCTCGTGACCTGGGGCCACGCGCAGAGCTGCACTGCAATCGCTGTCTGCGCCCGTGAAGTCGCCCAAAGCGCAGCGCGTGGCCGCTCTGTTTACGAGCGCCTGCACATTCTGAGGGCTCAGCCGCAGGGCGGCATCACAGTCGTTCTTCGCCTCAGTGAGCTGCCCCAGCTCCACATAGGCTGCGCTCCGGTTCACCATGGCCTGGACGTTCGAAGGGTCCAACCGAAGGGCTGCGGAGCAATCCTGCACCGCGCCCTTGCAGTCTCCCAGCCGCCGCAGCGCGGCCCCGCGGCTCGTGAGACCTTGCGCCGTTCGGCGCAATGCCAGGGCCGCGTCGCAGTCGCGGGCGGCGCCCGCCGTGTCGCCTGCCTCCAAGCGCGCCGTGGCGCGCCACAACAGCAGCCCGTCGTGCTGGGCATGGCCCAGCGCGGCAGTGAAGCAGCGCACGGCAGCGTCAAAGTCCTGGACCCGCAGCATGGATTTGCCCCTCTGGAGCAGTTCCTCTGCCTCTGCCGGCAGAGAGCTTGCGCGGCGCGGCGCCGGAGGCGGACCCCAAGACATCTAAGTCGACTCATGCAAGGGGCATGGCTCTCGACATGGAGCTCCATAAAATGAGCAATGCTCTGTCTTGCAAAAGTGCGGCAACCACAACTTGCTTTAAGTGACTACTTGAAAAACCCCGGGGCAGTTGACTTGCGAAGACCTAGCTTGTTCACAGTGTGACCCATCATGTCCATGCAGCGAAGCACTCTTGGAGCCAGGGCCATGATATGAGGCGACGCATCCTGGTGCCCTGTTTGCGGCACTTGGGCGGCGAAAGCGCGGAGCATCTCAGGGCCAGGCACCACCGGCAGCTCGCTCAGTTGGTAGCTCCCTGCGGTAGGGCTACACAAAGCCCCCGCAATGCCGATGGCACCCAGCCGGATCACTTTTTTGCGCTACGCTCGTTGGCGCCCGCCACGTTGCAGCTCCCGCATCCTCTCAGTTTCCTCGATCTCCTTGTGCCAGTTCGGGTTGCTGGGATCCTTGGACGCCCGGCGTTGCAATCAACACTCCCTCTCGCAAGGCAAACAGTGACCAAAAAGCCGAATCGTCTCCAAGCGTCCTGATCCTGGCCTTGGGCGAAGGCGCTGATTGCCATGTCATAGCGCTTGAGCCCACGCAGGGCGACACCGCGCCGAAACACCGCCTTGGGCCAGTCCGGCGCCATCTCCTCACAGCTCTTGGCGTCCTCCAGGGCCGCCTTGAAGTTTCCGGCCGCCGCATAGGCGGCGCTCCGATTGGACAGCAGCGTCTCGCTGGGCGCCCACACCAAGGCCTGGGAATACAGGGCGATGGCCATCTGGAAGTCTTGATTCCGGAAGGCTTGGTCAGCCTGGGCTTTCAGCTCTTTGCTCTCACACATCTCCATGCGAGGACTTCCAAAAACGCGGGGGGCGAGCCACTGTGACAATCTGATGTGTGCGGTGTGGGCAGGCAGGCTGATGCTGGCTCAAGATGCCTTGCAGACTTGAAATATGCCAAAGCGTATTGCAAGTATTACAGTATGCTGGCTGACCCGGGCTTCTATGGGACGCATGGCCCGACTTCATGTGCATATTGATGCTCCCTTGAGCTCTGAATATTTAGCAGGCCAAGCATGCCAAGCCAATAGGTAGCCATGGGCGCCTACCTCACTCGAGCACATGCCTGGCTTGGCCATGCCAGCCTCCGATGAGCCTTCTGGACTCCTTGCGTGAGAGCTGTGCCGCCCCAGCCAGGAAGGCCTGGGATAACAAGCAACACGCCTTGCAAACATTGGAGAGGACATGAGGACATCCATCTTGCCAACCACGACTGTTCTACCTAGCGCATGCGGCTGTTATGTTCACCCGTATGTTGGCGGCTGCGCAGCCAAAGCTGCCGAGTGGCGAGGTGCAAATGTTCTAGAACCCGGTTTGGATGCGGCTTTTGTGGATCCACCCCCTTTAGGATGTCAAAGGGTTACGAAAAAGACGACTAAACACCCCCACCATGAGAAGAACAAATGGATTCCACAAAAGCCGCGTCCAAGCCGCTTTCCAGAAATCTGCCAAGCTTCCGGCCATGGGGAACAGGAAGGAGATCGGGCCGCTCAGCAAACTTCCTGAAGAGCTGCGCACCGCTCGGTGCATGATGCATAGATTGACATCACCAGTATTCACCTTTTTCGCAAAACAAGGGTCCCCTAGCCGCCCAAAAGGGGGTCCAGTATTTTGAGAAACTCCCACTGGTGCGGTAGCTCTTGCTTGACGCAAGGGCCTATTAGGGCAAGAAGATCTGAGAAAAACCTGGGCTGGGCGACCGCAAATCGCCGCTGTGCTTGCCATGTGCAACCACGCCACGGAATAGAGTTGGACACGGCCCAGCAGGCAACTAGCAAAAGTACCTGGGGAACGGCAAAACATGTGGCTGTGGGTCACAACCGTGCACCACCCATTTTAGAACGTATTTTAGTGGGGATTGGGATGTTCACTGGGGGTGCGAAATTTTGACCCATGGCCATGTCCATTCCCGGAACCACCGGACAACTGTCCGCCAGCTTTGCGCCAAAACTCGAGCCGACGCATGAGGCCCTCACCGCGCAGCCGATGAACTCGAGCTGTGCGCGGCCACCACCGGGCCTTGCGTCCAGAGTTCTGCGGGCACTGCAGGTGCAACGAAGGCGCTGGCTCGGACCAGCCCACGTCCACCCTCCTGGGGGAGACGAGCTTGTGAAGGGCACCTCAAGAATTCTCAAGACAGCAGACTACAATATGACAATACCCCATCAACCAGGCACGCCAAAGCAAATCTTCTTGGCTTCGCGGAAATAGCAAACGCTCATGGCCTTTGTCCCAAGTGCCCGGCGAGCCAGCACGACATTCTTGATCAGGAAGGCAATGGCAACATGCGCAAAGAGCAAAATGGAGGCCTGGCTGCACACCCTTCCAAAGGTACCGAGAACTCTACGGGCATTTCATGCAGGCGGCTCCCAGCGATATGCTTCGCCATCTGGCAAGTTGTCCAAGAAGTAGCCCTCAGCCTGCAACACCAGGTCTGAAATCCACGTTCCCTCACAACCTGCTTCGCGCCTTGTCTCCCGCAAAGTAGTAACCTCGGAAACCGGAAGCATGGCCCATCGAACAAGCATGGCTTTGCATCTTGGGGTCGGACCCCAGCAGGCCACCAGCAAGTAGAGGCAAACCTCGCGCGAGCTTTGCAAATTCGAACCTCGAAGTGGCACTCGGGCCTGCAGCGGCGCGTTGAGCAGGAACACGCGCGGAAACTGCTCTGGCCTCAGCACAGGCGTGGGCGAGTTTCCGATGCTGACGCGGGCGGGAATGAAGCGCAAAATAGCTCAGCGGAACAAGAGACTATGCCGGGTGCTTTTTCATTTCTACCATGAGCTCGAAGTAAATCCAATGGCCTCGGAATCTATCAAGGCACAACAGCGCAATCCCGGCCTCAAAGCGCTCGAAAGTTGATCCGCATCCCATCTAGGTGCCAGTCCCGTATAAGAATAGACCACATTCGACGCAGCTCCGAACACCTCACAATCGCTCCGGCGAGGCACCCGGAACGCATGTCACCGCTTTTACAACATGTTTCACCGCTCTCAGCACCAAACAGTGCTGTCTCTGCGGGCCGGGCCGTCCAGAAGCTGAGACCTTCGGCAAATGCGAAGGTGCTGACCTGCGAAGGACGCCTGGCAGGAGCCGGGCAAACCCCTGGCGTGTGGCGAGCAATCTGCGCTGGGACCCGTCGAGGTACATCTTTCCCATGACCTCTGCGCAGAAAACCCGGGAGTGCGGGATGTGTCAATAAAAACAGTTGATCAGTTGTCTTGCGCTGTGGATCTGGCAATGGAAAGGACTGCCATAATAATTACAAGGTTGAGCAGGCACAAGAAGACCTGCCAGGACAATCGGCCAAAGGCCAGGCAAAGTCGAATACGAGCTGGGTCCAACCCGCTAGGCTGCGTGCGGAGTCAGCCAAATGTCTGACAGACGCGGCTGTTGGAAGACCTCGCGGCTCGCAAACAGCCACGCACCTTTGATGGCATGGCCCAGTGCTGCAACCTTAAAAGAATGGGGCCTAGGCACAGAATGCAGGAAATGGCGGTTGCCAGGGGCAAACACAGCTGAGACTCGAAGAGGATGCCCTAGGCTGGGCAAGATCCCCTGCAATGCCTGTAAACTAAAGCGCCTGCAGGCATTGACCCAAGACCAGTATATAAGAGCTTTGACCTGGCCAATCCCCATCGCTGAGAAGGCCCAAGCTCGCCACTCGCCGGCCGCACCCAAGAAAGCAAAGCCATAAACCATGGCATACACGACGGCGGCTGCTTTGTCCCCGCCGGTCATCCTTGCTGCCTGCCAATGCCAGGTTCGTCCAAATGTGGCGACTGCTGATGGCCTCCCCCATCGATGATGGGCGCGAGCCTCAGCCAGTGTGCCAAATCACACTGTCAGGCTTGGTTTGGGCTGTTTGTGCTCAAGGAGGGGCCCAGCCTTGCTGCACTTTGGCCAGCAAATCTGAGGTCCTGCAAGGGCCACACACCTCTCGTCTGCAAGGCTTACCACGGCGGTTGCGCGACTACGCGACCAACTGCTGGCACCACTCCGTCCGTCCTTGACATCAGGACGGCTGTGTAAATCGCAACAGGTGCCAGTCCGACGATGAAGCCAACTGTGAGGACCTGCGTTGCTTCGATTGGCATGGATTGAGCTCGGCAATGAGCCAGGCAGACCCAGCCCAGCTGCCGAGCCACACCTGCAAATGTGAGCACCTGAATGGGCGAGGTAGCATTGATCTGTTCTGAATTAAGATCAGAAAGGAGGTCACTACCTCTGGGTGACCCAAGATTCTGCCAACCGTGCAAATTCGGTGTATGATGTGACACTTCCAGAATCACATGGTCACACAAACGTGTCATTGGTCAAGTCAACCTGGTCATGGTTGTGGCTCCCTGAACAGGTGACCGTCCCTGGTAGTCCCAAGTATGTGAATCCTTCAACCATGGTAAGCACAGCGCTGACGTGCCCACAATGTCCGTGAGCATGATCCAGCTGGTACCTCTCCATCTTAGCCATTGCCACTATGCCTCTCAATCGTCTCAATCTCAGGCACAAGGGCAGACTGGGCGCACCCAGCCATTCGTTCTGGTGCACCATCTGAAAAGTGCACAGCTTAGCTGTGCTCACCAATCGACCACAAAATCAGGGCGCCATGGATGAAATTCTATGGTCGATGTCTCTTGAGGCAGGGCAAGCGTTTCAGCCGCAAAACCCGTTTAGAGCCTCCATCTCTGTTCGCTGGCTGGTGGCAAGCACGATCCGCCTTTTTCTCTCCCAGAAGCTTTCGCAGGTCCTTTGCCAGTCCATCCGCCACGTCTGCTGGGAAGTGGCCCTCGGCCTCAGGGAGCCCGGCGAGTGGCCGGAAGCCCCGGAAGCCCGGCCTCCTGCGCGCAAACTTTGCAGAAGCGCAGTGTGTAGAACCTCAACGCGCAAACACGTGCAGCTGCTGTAAATCTTGGGGGGAGGGGAGGGGGGGAAGGGGGGGGGAAGGGGGGGGAAGGGGGGCGAAGGGGGAGGGGGGGAAGGGGGGGGTCAGGGGGGGAAGGGGGGTCTGGGGGGGGTCGGGCCCCTTCTTCACCGAGTGGCTTCCGAGCTGTGGCTCTGAGATTCTGAGCCGGCCGCAGCGAGCACTTCTCGTCCACGCACACGGGGTTCGCGCAAGCGGCGCAGAGTGCCCCGAGGCAAATGCTGCGAACCTGCATCCGGCAAATGTTGCGAATCTAGGAAGTTTGCTGCTGCTCCAACGCACATACGCGGGCCTTTCCATACTCTTCTGGAGACCTCAAGTGACTGGCAGTGACTGGGCGTGCTATCCCGCTTTTTGCACATCCCCAGCTGCTTGTCAATGCAAGCCCAACTCACCAATGTCGAACTCCGTGTCCCCAACAGCAGCAGCAGCAGCAGCAGCAGCAGCAGCAGCAGCAGCAGCAGCAGCAGCAGCAGCAGCAGCAGTAACCAACAAAAAATAATCGCAGGTCTGCGTCACTTGGGTCAGAACGGATTCTGCAGAGTGAAAATGTCCTCTAGCCACCTGCCGCAAAACTGCGATCTGACACCGAACGCACCATCAACCTGCGATTGCGAGCTATTGCACAGCCTGACAGATGGATTGTCAAATGGTGGCTCCTTCCCAAAATAGTCATATCCTTAGACACCAAACCAAAGAGAAGCCGAAAAGCTCAGGCATGCCTCAGAAACCTTGGGGCGAACGCAGACTGCATGAAGAGTGCTCCCCCCACGGTTGGTCTGCGAATATCTCTATGGCCGACTGAGCCCCCAGCGGCATCTGAAGCCGCAAACGGAACAAGCGAAGTCGCCCTGCTTGGGCGGCATCTGCCAACTTGCCGCTGTCCGGAAAATGCTCCCTGCACTTTCGTGCTGTGTACCCTCACAAGAACGGGACTCTTTCAAATACCTCTGACACAGCATCCAGCCAAGTCCAATCTTCCAGCATGTAACGGCGAGTGAATATCTCGATCTTCTGGCGAACTTTGACATTTTGTCTGGCCATCTGTCCGCGTTTCAACCTGCTGAGCCAGGGCAGCCATACAGCCAATGCCCATACAGAATCTCGACTGAGCGTGAAAAAGAAGCCGCTCCCTGGACCCTTGAGCGCTCTCTTTTTCTATCCAAGGCGGAAAGATGTGAAGTCTACAGCTTCGGCTTTTTCTTTGCTCCACTTGCCTTCACTTTCGTGGTCCTTTTGGTGGTAGATCGGGTTGTGCCGCTTCCCAAGATGGTGTCAAGAAGGCCGACAATGTTGTTCTCGGCATCTTGGGGCTTTTGCTTTGCTGCAGCTTGTGTGGAGGAACCAGCGCTCTCATCATCAGAGGATGGCAACTCCTCGATCCCCAAATCACCCCCCTCAAACAAGTCTTCAAACATCATTCGCTCTTCCCGTCGTCGTCGCTTCACATCGCCCGCAATGCCCAGCTTTTGCTCCAAATCTCGCATGAGCGCCTCATCACGGACTGCACCCTCAGCATCGAAAATGGTCGTCGCCTTCTCATGTCGCTTCTTTGGCGTTTTGCATGGCTTCAGCTTCTCTTTCACTTTCTTTACCTTCTTTACTTTCTTTGCTTTCGTGTGCGGGTCGGACGCCTCCGGCGTCGCCTCCGCCTTTGCCTCCGCCTTTGCCTCCGCCTTTGCCTCCGCCTTTGCCTCCGCCTTTGCCTCCGCCGCCTTCGCCGCCTTGGCCTCCGCGGCCTCGGCCTTGGCCGCCTTGGCGGCCTCCCGCTTCTTGGCGCGCGCCGCGCGGCGCCGCGCCACTCGGCCGGGAGAGACCGCCGCACCAAACGCCACGGCATGCGGCTCGCTGGCCCTGTGCCGCAGAAGCGAGGCCAGGTGACTCGGGAGCTGCGCCATGGTGGGAAGTTGGCGTGCTACCTTGCCATATGCAGACAAAACTGAGCTGTGTAGGTTTGCTTCCATCCATTGCATTCCGGACTCGCTTGGTTGCCTTCATCTGGGTTTGCAGCATGTTTTTGTGTGTGCACGTGGGGCCCTAGTGTTGCTAGCCAGGAGGTGCTGCATAAAACGCATGCTACCAGACTTGAGCATGCAAGCAATGAGTCACACATCATTTGACCACTGTAGTACTGTACTAATGCTATACTGCGTTCTGGCCTCCATCCCAGCCATGTTCACCCGAATTCTCGCGCAGTCGTCTGAAACCGCCTGTAAGCAGTTCGGACATGCTTGCCGGCACTTGTGGCAGTCGTCTACGCAGCCTCACTGGCTCATCACCTGTCATCGTCACTGCAACTCACAACCAATCCGCCAATGCTCGCGGGCGATGCCGCGTTATGTGCTGACTGCGTTATGTTAGGTGCACCTCTGTTGTGAATTGTTCAATCTCCGCTGCATCACTTCACCACTCAAAGGAGTTTGCGGGAAATATTGAAAGAAGTTTGTGCCAGGAGCGCTTCTTGCTGGGCAGGTCCCCGAGGTCATCCACGCGAATCTCTGCCCCGTCGCCGATGCCTTCCATGACGTCTTCGATGCGCGTAGGTCATGCCACACTTTGAGCCCTCATATGGCCATGGGTCAAAATCCCGTACCCAGTGAACATCCCAATCCCCACTGAGATAGACTAAAATGGGTGGTGCATGTACCCCAAAATGGTACCATTGGTTTTGACCCACAGCCCTATTGATTCTTAGGCTTCCTCCTGCTTTTGTCTTCGGTTCTTTTTGCTTACCCCCAAGCCCCGCAAGCTCAGCCGGGATCGGCTCCTTGGGACCCCGGCCGAAGAAGCCCAGCTCCCGCGCTTCATCCTCCAAGGGCACCTCCAGCTAGCCCGGGATAGCCCGGGAAACGGGTCAGGTGTCACTGAGGACGGGACCCCGAAAGGCAGCCCGTCATCGGCCAAGGTCAGCGTCAAGCGATCTAAGGGAACCTGACAGCCGGCTCCCAATCAGTTGAACAACTGGAGCCGGCAACTGCCTGCTTGAAAAGCAGCTGCGCCAAACGTTTCAGCTCTGCAACTGTCATCGTGTGGGGTACCTCATTCAGACGGAGGCCCTGCCATTCCCATGCATTGACCAAAATGGGCTGCACGCCTTCTTCTTGGCGATCGGCTTCTCAACAATCGCAGCCCCCACCGGCCGCAGCGTCACCTGAGGGCCCGAGGCGCACCATGGCATTCTCCGCAGCTCCGTGCGCCTCCACCAAGGCGTTGAACAAGGCGGAGCGGGACGCCTGCGAATGCTCCGTGACGTCGCCGCCCACCTCAGCCATCTGGGCTCGACTGCGCTCTCCGAGCTGGCTGTGGGTCAAAAACAAAATGGAACCCTGGTAAGTGGAACCAAAGACTAAAACCTGCGGTCCCCTGGGGGTCTAATTTTGACCCACACCCAGCCGAGCTCCTGAGTTCCTGAGCTCCTGGCCACAGCGCCGTGCACAGCGCGCAGCCGCTCCACCTCAAAACCCACACCCATGTGGCGGTACGTCGGAAGCTTATCGCCTGACGCCTGAGTCACTGAGGCCATCGCATGGTCTGACATATTGCACGTCTCTGACAGTCCCTTCACCTACGCATCGCCACTCTCGATGCTCGTCGGCGATATGGAAGTAACAGGCCGCGGACCATAGGACTGTCTTGGTGGGCCACAGACAAAAAGTACCTCGTGGCCGCACAAACTTCACAGCACAGTAGAGTGCTCTATTGTATGCCCTGCTCAACGTTCCAACAATGCCCTTTGGCGATTCCAAGCCATCCGCCGCTCAGCCGCTGTTCGCTCCTGCAAGCCACTTCCAATACCAGCTGTTCAAGCATGTGTGTTGGTCTCACGGAACCACTTCAGCCTTGACCGTCACTTCGGACGCATTCAGCCGCAGAAGTGTTGGCATCAGCGCAATCAGAATCTGGCAGGCGACAGGGCACACCAGCAATCCCATGACTGCTTTCAACAACCGTCATGCCAACAGGGGTCAATCCCGCAAAACCGAAGCTACACCCAGAATGTTCAAGCATGCACCATGACCGAGGCTATCTTTGGCAACTCTCGGAAACTCGACGTATGGCCGTGCCTGTCTCAAAAGCATCGGCGATGCCAATGGCTCTTTGGCATCTGTGAGGGGTATTCTCTGAACCTTAGCCAGCCAGGGGGCTCCCTGCATGTCCCCTTACCAACCTCACACCCCCACCCCTAACAAAAAAAAAGAAGAGACTTCCACTTACAACCTTCCCCAAAAATTATCAGCCAGGGGGCTCCCTACGTTTTCCCCCACCTCACCCCTACCAAGGGGTAAACCCACCTTTAAAGTGACCAAAACCGGTGTCCCACACCCACCGGCGCCTCTCTCGAGGCGCGACCGACCCCAGCACAGGCCTTGAGCTCCAGCAACGCGTAGCTGGCGAGCGCCCCGATGCTGCGCCAGGAGGCCTTGAAGTCAAAACCGTTTTGGGATCCCATTTTGCGGTTTTCGGTGAATTCACCACCCATTTTAGAACCTATATAACCTATTTTAGTGGTTGGATTGGTTGATGTTCACTGGGGGCTAACCGGGCTTTTGACCCATTTGGGAACTGGGACAACGGCACACAGAACCGAAGTCTGACATCCCAACCAAACGGATTCTGCTTCCAGCGCTTGAAAGCAGCTGCCAGGCCGTGCTTTTTCCACACCTGTACATTGCGTTGTGTGGCGTCCTCCACCCTAAACCCAGCATCTTCACCTTTGTCACTCTGGTTCGGCCAATTCAAACGTTTGCCGTGCGTCCTTCGCGCTGCGCCAAGCAATTGAAACCCCTAATTTGAGATGACCCACAAATGAACATGCAGAGAGTGCATCTGTCTGTGTGGGTGGGGCTGCAGGACCGGGAAGACAAAACAAAAAAAAACAGCCACAGCCACAATTTCTGCTTCAGGCTCTTGGCCTCAATCGGGCAGGGGGTTGACTTTGGAAAACCTGCCCACCAAAGCACGGGCGGCCCGGGCAAGATGGGGCAAGTTGAGGCCGTACGGCCGAAGCTGAAGTGATAAAGCGTGAGCCCGGAGAAGCAAAAAAGAAAGCGGCAACTTGCCCGGACCAAGTGCAGCAATGATGCCAACTTGTTCTCGTTGAGGAAGAGCGCCTGAATGGTAACCCCGGATTCAGCAGAAATTCTGGTTGATTTTGATCGGGGGGTCCCCTTTTAGTGGGGATTCACTTTTGGAGGGAACACCCCCCTAATGGGACGAGTTTGCTAATCCTGGGTCAACATCAATTCAAATCTACCCTGGCTCAGAACCAGCTGCCATCTTCAACAGCGGAAAGCTCCCTCTCAGCCCCAGCACCGTCAAGCGTCTCGGCGACTGATCAGCAGCCGCGGCTGCAAGACCCTCTATGCCTGGAATATGCTCAGCGGAGTCCCAGACCCCCGATCACACAGAAGCCAGCAACATATAATATTAGCCGACTCAAACTCCAAGACTAGGAGCACGGCTCTCTCCCAGCAGGTTGCTGTTGAGATGCAATGCCTGGCATTTACCCGAAACGCCCGCGGCAAAGGTCGCGGAACACAAGATGCCTGCAGAGAAGGGAAGGCTTTGATGGCGCGGCGCCTGAATGCGAAGCCATGCCCAATAGCTTTGTCGCATGTCGTACATGGTGAGTTCCTTTTGGTTTTTCCCCCGCCTCACCCCCCGCCCTAAAAAGCAAAAAGCAAAAACACACACACACACACACACACACAAGGGGTACTCTCAACAAAAGACACGGCCACACGCACGCAGTACGAAGCGACGCTCGCGCGCTCAGGACGCCGCAGGACAGTCCAATCAGAGATCTGGTTGCTGTCCAGAACCTGAGCCGCGGGATGAAAACAAAACACAGCCCTTGGTCCAAAAGCCGCTGGCCCATGTTGATTTAGACCAAGGGTCTACAGAAATCGCGACTTTGGCTCACCCAAACCGTCACACACGCACCGCCGAGTCAGGCGCCAGCGACTGCAGATTCGGCATCGGCTGCCGCTGTGACTGAGACGAACGATCCGGCGCACTCGCCGAGGCGGAAGGCTAACCGAAAGAAATGAGTGATTCATTTGTTGCCTCATCCTTGCGGGTTGCAGCTCTACACTGCAGACGTGAGCCCGCTTTAGGTCCCACTTTGAAACATCCTCTTCCCTCCATTCCCTCCTCCCTTTTTGCATGCGCAGCTTTCAAAGGTGCAAGGAGACAGACAAGGCCAGACTGCCAACTGCAGCCACCCTGCCCGACTCAACATGGATTGTACCCGGGAGGCTCTTCCTCACCTGTCCTCTGAAACCATCAGCGCCATGTCACTGGCACTGCATGCTCGCTCGCTCGCAGCGGGCCCTCAGAGACGCGCTGCTGGCCAGCTGACCCGTGCACTCTGTGCCTTCAGAATCGCGGCAGCATCGTCCACCATCCTCAGCGTGGCAAGCGCTGCCTGAAACCAAGCCCAGGCGAAGAGCATGGAACATTTGACGCATCAAAGGCTCTTCTCCACGATGGTCTGGGCGGGCAAAACGTCGTAGATCATGCCGGCGACTTGCCCGCAAAGCCACGGATGACCTGCCCCAAAGACGATCAAATGCGTGTGGTGCCAACAGCTGGCAGCACACACCCGCCTTCATCCAACCCAACCGGGGGGTTCACGTCGGCCTTCAGGCCTGGAGTGCACGAAGAGGAGTGTGTAAATGCCAAAGCATCCCTTTTTTTGGGCCGGCGAGCGCCGGCCCAACCCGCTTTGGGGGGGGGGGTTTTCTAGGGGGGGAGGGGCCAGCTCCGCCAGGTCGCCTTTGGCCTTCTCCTCCATAAGCTCCACGTCCTTGGTGTAGGGGATGACGCCCTCCTGGAGCAGCTGCCGCATCTCCTTGGAACGCTCCACCTCCCAACCTCAGCTTGCCAGCCAGACCGAGTCTCGACTGGTGGGCTAGCTAGCGCTTTCCACCGATTCATGTGCCAGTGGCCCCCGGGGATTTTGAGACCCATAGTGGAAGAAAACAGGGGTTGGAACTGTTGACGCGACGTGGGAAAGAACCAAGCCGCTTTTTAACCTAGAATTGCGAAGCCACGCGTCAAGCAATCGACACAGGGCTTCAAGACTACATACAGTGCACAATTCCTAACTGCGCTGCAAATGCTGCCACCCTGTCGATTCCGTGGCTGGCATTTCCATCCCGAAAACTCTGTCGAAAACTCTGCTTGCCCAATGCACCGCTGACCTGCGGCCATCCGCAGCCACGGGAAAATATTGAGAGAAAGAACTAACCACTAAGCGAATCCAGTCCATACCCTTGCTTAGCTCAGGCAAATACGGACTGCAGAACTTTCGTGATGACTCAGAAAGGGTAGGGAAAGCCCGGTGAATCAGATTCTCAAGCAATCCGAAGCCAAGCTGCTCACAGAGTATCGGTTCTTGATGATCCTCATGGGGCGCCCAGTGTAGATCTCTGTCCGGTGCGTGTCATGCACACTGGCCTTCACAAGGTCCTCAGCTTCAGAAACCGAAAAAGAATCTGCTCACCTGAAAACAGCTGAGTCACACTCAAAACTCTTAGAACGGTCTACCCAGAACCATGTGAAGCTGTTTTTTGGAACCGAATGCTGAATGCAAGCCGCGCGTCATCCTTGTGCCCCTGCGGCGCGCCACCCTCCACGGAAGCCACAAATCGCGTGCCCACCCACACTGCGTCGGCGCCCAGCGACAAGGCCATGGCCAGGTGCCGCCCATCCTGAGCAAAGCGCGAGGCGCGCCAATTTCCACGGCAACTCGCAACAGCCGTCTACCAACAATAACCGGAATCCCGTCTGGAGACAAGTTGGACGACTTGGCTACATCAGTCGCACCAAGCAAACGGCAAAGGAACAGCGGAGGACATCACTGCAGAATCTCGTGGGGCTTCCATGTAGGATAGGGGGAAGCCAGCTCTGCAGGCAAGTCACAGCGATGCCTCCTGCGGCAATGACGGACACCTGCTTGCCGGTGAGAGGCGACTTGTGGCCCTTGCACAGGTCCACCACCATAGGGATCAGAATGCCTTGGGCCGCATTGGAGCCCCAGCTGCGCAAGGCCGACAGCCAACTAGGAGCTGTCAGTCTTATCCCCCATTGGAAAACCGAGAAGAGGGTGCTGGAAGACTACCTCCGCCTTAAGCCCGGAACCCACTTCCCTTTTCATGACACACCGAGGTTCCCAAACCGAGACGATGGCGCGAACCGCCGAGAGGCTGGTGGCGACATCCCCGGTGTGGCCTCCACCTTCGCCGCCCTGCGCACAAATGATGTCCACTCCCGCCTCCAGGGCTTTCTCCACGTGCTTGGGGGCACCAATCCTGAAGCCAAGGCCCGACCCGGGCCGGGCCGCTCGGGAAAAGACAGATGGAAAATTGCGCGGGAAAGGGTCAGGCAAACGTGTTTCCAGCGCAACCAGCGTAAAAAAAAACCAAGAGAAGGCTGTTTAAAGCCATGGCTGCTTCGACATGCTGAAGCAGGTGGCTTGGGTACACCCTAAACGGAGCCACAAGCAGCCCGGGCGCTTATGATCCGAGAGTCATATTCATCACTGGAATGCCAGCAGCATGGAGCTTGTCCACCGCATACTTAGGAGGCACCCCCACAGCGCTCACAAAGAGCTTGGCACCCATCCTGACAGCACGCTGGCTTCCGCAAGGGAGGCGAGGGGTTATCTGCAAGTGGGACAGTGCGGATTCCCCTTGCCAAAGCGTTGGCTGAAGTGCCGCTGCCATGTCCACTATGTCCTATGGCCCATCAGCCAAGCATCTCGATGGAAATGTCAATCAGCTCAGGGAGGTCGCCCTTCGTGTAGTCATAGTTCGTGGCCCGTGCGTTCCCGCCAACCTGCGGGATGAGCAAGTCCACCTTGGCGACAGCGTAAACTTGAAGCATCCAGGCGAGCCCGTTGGTACAAATTTCAACCCGCGCCAGGTCGCCCCAAAGGGCGCGTTGGGATCCTTCAACGCGGCCTTGAGCTCCTTGAGCTTGGATCGGAACATCTTCGGCGTGTAGTTTACCTTGACCACGCTCGACTCAAATCAACATTGTTGGCAAACGAAATGCTGACAAGATTAAAACACCGGCAACACATGGGACACAACAACGGCACCGGCACCAAATAATTGCTCGTCTCGCTTTGGGAAGTTTGCATGGCCTCATAAATGCGCGGCGTCACGCTGCCTTTTAGCCAGCAACCAATAAGATGCAACTTCACAGGGCCGCAAGCCAAACAGCTTCGAACCCAAACTCTGTGCCAAGAAAGGACTACCATAACAAGACTGGGAAGAACCCAAGAGTTGACTCAGCTCAAGCAGGTCACACGAGATGGTCTTGGACTTGCTTGCTGATTCTTAGCCCATACCCCCGCAAAATGCCAGCCGCACCCATGACGTATGCACGCGAAGCTGCTCCTCCCCAAACGCCAAGGCCACCAGCGTTGGTCACCTGACACCGCGAGTGCCGGTCCCGCGCATGGAACTAAGTCACTGCTTCTCTGATCCAAGTCGCCGCGGCAGCCAGCTCAGGACTGGCGGCGATGTTCATGCCTACGACCCAAAACCGCTTCGAGCTTCGAACCAAACCCACGATTTCGCGTTTGCAGGCCCGCCTGCCAAAAGTACGGGGTGCTGAATGCCAAACAGCTCCGTCATCGGAGTCTTGATCTGCGGCAGCGCGCTCATGGTGACGACCTCGCGTGCGAGGCCTCACCTCTCGCCAACAAACGAAGCGGGTTCTGGGCCTTGTGCTGTCCGAAGTAGTCGCACGGATGTATACAAAAGCTTGATCCAGAAACAGCCAGCATCGGCACAAAGGAGCGCACAGTTGACTATCAATGGCCGGAAAAGGAAGGGGGGTCAACCTTTCTGGGGCTGCCTATAGGACGGACACACACACACACACACATGCGCGTGCTGCATGCGCTGTGATGCACGCACGCACGCACGTATAATTTCGTTTGGGCCCAGAAAGCGGGAAGCAGTCAGACTTTGGACCCATGTCGCGCGCCCCAAAACCATGCTCCAGCTGCCTCAAGTTCTATCTAGCCTTCAAACATGCACCCAACTACTCTATCTTGGAAACCAGCTCACGCAGGTTCGGCGCCGACTGACTCACTCGAACAAACACAACACTTCAAGGCAAACCAAAACACAGTAGCTCAAAGCCAGCCCCCAGCTTTCTAGCCAAGGCGAGCTTTGCGAAGCGTTTACAATATATGCGTACATTTGTTAAGGGGTTCCCTTCCATGGGCCCCCCCAAATGCGGTTCCGGGGTCTGCCCCCCCGCCGCCTTTGGAGTCAAGGGGTTCAGGCTTGGTTCGGTCCACCCACCTGCAAGCTGGCCAGGTGTGCGGTTAGTCGGTCTCGGTTTGGGCTGTGGTTTTGGTTCCAGGCTGGTTTAGGACTAGTTCCGGGGTGGGCTTCGGCTTGCTAATTTTTTGCTGCAAGGACGTTGGCCTTAGGGCTGGTTGAAGGGTCGGTGGGCGGGTTTCACAATTGTGTCAGGCTTGATTGGCTTAGGGTTTGGGATTGGGCCAGGCCTAGGGCTGGTTTTATGGGCTTTGGGACTTTAGGGTTTAGCACTGGGCTTAGGACTGATTTAGGTTTTAGGGCAGGTTTAGAGCTGGCTTCCCGAGGTGAGTATGGCTTGCTCGAGGTCCAGGGTTTGGGGTTCCTTGGTTTTCCATGTGTGTGTGTGTGTGTGTCTCTCTCTCTCTCTCTTTCTCTAGGCACGTGCATTTAGACGCATGTGATTATAGCGGTACAGGTGTTGCGCGCTGATACACACACACACACATCCTTTTCAGAAGTTGCACTTGGGGAGAGGTGCCCAAGAACAAATCACACGCAAAATGGCGCTGTGATACTTCCGTCCCGGCCGTGTCCAACTCCTGCGGGATCCCCTGGCAGCGCAGATCAGTTGCTCTGATCACGTCAAATCACGCCCTGCCTCGCTCAAGCCGTTTTGGGCCACATGGAGATGCTCCAGGTGAGGAAACAAGCCTGACGCAAGCTGCACCTGTGAATCGTCACGTCCATCAACCAAGCGGCGCAACAGAGTCTACGGCTCCGCCCGCTTTTCTCGGTCACTCTCCGCCCTCAGAGCCCTCAGAGCCCTCAGAGCCCTCAGAGCCCTCAAAGCCCTCGGAGTCCTCAAAGCCCTCAGAGTCCTCGGTGTCGTACAAATTCGAACTTGAGCTATCGGAGTGCCCACACGGGAGCCACATGTCGAAGGCTCTGCCGGGCCAGTGCGTTGCGGGGTATGCATGGAGGAGCGCAGAAAGGTCTTCGGCCTGCTTGAACCCCGGGGTCTCCCTCAGCTCGGACAACACGCCCATGTCAAAACAGAAGGGCCTGGAGCCGAAGTTGAAGGACAAGTCCCAAGTCGCATCAAGCCCTACACATGGCCACAAACGCGGCTCGGCAAAGGCGCGGAGTAGGAAGCAAACTCCGAGAAATCGGCCATTCAGTGCAAAGAATATTCCAAAGCCGCTTTCGAGTTTCACCACGCCACATCCCACAACATCACCGGGACCAAATCTTGGCACCTCTCTGCGTGGTCTGGACGCTTCACCGCTATATCCTCCATCTGAAGTCAGGTCAACAACTTCCGACTCCTGGCCCCCTTCCTTCCCTTCCTCCAGAGAGAACTGCCTCATGGGCATGAAAGGGTAGCCCTGCCCATGGCCGTGGTACAGCTGCCCATCATCGCCGTGCAACGCCCAGCTGCTGCGGTTCCACCCCGCCTGCTGCCGGCTTAGGCCCCGCGCCGGGATGGTGGCGATGGCCAAGCCCACCGACACGCACTCCGCGCGCCGCACGCGCGCGGAGGCCTTGGCCGCGGGGCCCAGCTCCACCTGACACTCGAAGTGGCAGGCGTCCTTTTGGTTTCCGTGGGTTAAAGGGAAACAGTCCCAGTTTTGACTTCGATGCCCCCAATAAGCCGTCAAAATAATGACCCCAGTACACACCCAAAGGGGTGCCCCCCCCCCAAAAAAAAAACAAACGAAAACAGGCCCGCACGCACCTCGTAGTAAGAGCAGGGCCGCCAGGCGATCTGCCAAGCTCCGGCGCGGTCCGGCAGGGCCGTGGCGGTTCCCAAGCGGGGCAAGGGCCCCCTGGCCATCACGCAGCGGTCGCCCCCCAGAGGCGCACGCAGGCGACAGCTGGTGAAACGCTTCCTCAGTTGCGAAATCTGCTTCCCTGCTAAGTGAATAACTTTTAGTGGTTTGATGGAAAACCCATTCGCTAGAAGTGGAAGTCCGAACATCCCTTGGCAAAATGCAATCCAAAGATTCCCTGGGCCCCTGCTGATCTCCACCTCCTGCAGCAAGGTTGCGGCGTCCTCCCCCGGCTGGAAATTCACGAGGGCGGGGTAGCTGAAATCTTCGGGCAGGTTGCGTAGCTCATTGCCAGCGGTCATTTGCAGAGATCCGTAGTGGTGCTCATCAGCAGTTGTGGAGCTCTTGTCCTTCGTGTCGGAATCAGGCTGATCTGCCGGATGATCAGGATGGCTGAAATCTTCGAACAACTCCTGGTGCGCTTCCCACCAAAGCTTCTGGCAAGCAAGGCCTGTCACTTCCTCAAGCTTCTGGCAAGACCCGGCCCTTTTGATTGAAAACTTCAAGAAAGAGCTTGTGTGAAGGCAGATCTCAGCAGGGGGGGCATTCAGGGGCGCGAGGTGCTGCAGCTGAGTCTTGAAGAGGTTGGACCAATACAAGTGGATGGATGCCGCATCCAGGAACGAACCCGCATCCACGCGCTGCAATTTCAGGAAGCTACGCGGATCAAGGAAGCCTGTCCAGTCATCCAGCAGCAAGTCCACAAGGCGTGGCTGTTTAGATCCCATCTTTTTTCTAGCTTGGGCATGAAGAAACGGACGGGCGCAGTCCAACCCAGAATCTCCGTTTTTTGGAACCCCCTTACTTGTTTCCTTGCTCCCCAGCGCTCACAGGCTTTGTCGTTTGTGGAAAGGCAAGGGTAAGTCTCAACCAGAACAAGCCAAGAACATCTCACCTCACAACCAGCGTAACGCACGTGTCCTGCGACCTTGCCACACCCCCAGGGCAAGGGCAAATTGGGAAGCAGTTGGGCTCAGGGTAAAGAACCCCACATCAGAACGAACCAAGCGGCGCACCCGCAGCATCTAGGGCCAAGATGTCCGACCAGGCCTCGGCGTCGCTGCAAGACACGTTTTGGGCGTGGGAAAAGCTGTGACCCTCTTGCATTGAGTGAAGTATCGCAGGAGCTCTTAACCGCTGAAGCCATTTCCGACCATGCATTACAACGGATGGAGCCACCTGGAAACCGCCCCTCCCTCCATTGCCGATACACGTCATCGGCCACTCGGTTGGAGCTCAATGACTCAAGGCGCTGGAGCGGAGCGGCCCCACAGAAGCAGTGAAAATCTGCAAAGCCCGTACCGGCGCGCAAGGACAGACAAGACTGCGGGTCCTTGAGCACAACAAGCGCGAGGTGCCAGTAGCCATGGGTGCCCAAAACAACTAGTTATAGGCTGTGAGGATAAGAAGGCTTTGCCAGGCTATGGAGGCAGGCGACCATGCAGTACATACGCCCGGATGTGACCCCTTTGGCGAGCTATGCCCGCGGCAATGCGGGTGCAGTTCAGGATCAGCGTGCGAACCTTGCACACGAAGGGCGTGAGCACCATGCGCTCCGAGATGCCTCGAAGCATGTCTTGCTAAATCGTTGCTTTCGAACGCTGGCGGGCGGGCCAGTTGGTGCGCCCGCAGGAAGGGGGACTCTTGGAGGACAGCCCTTCAGCCGAGTCCTGGCCCCAATTGCCCGTGCAAAAGCAAGCAAGCCCTAGAAACAGCAAAGGGTGATCTGATTGATAGTTTGGGTTCAAGAATTTCACCGGCTGGCTTCAAGACACTGCAGCTCAAAGGTCCTGGACAGGGACAGCCACTCAAGGTGCGGGCACAGCTCACAAATGGCCGCGAGATCTGCCCAGTCATCGATCAATGTCTTGTCCTCATTTCCGTGGCTAAGTGCAATCAGGGTGTCGTGAGTGTGCCACATCACCAGCTCGAGCTTGGAGCTAAGACCTCGACCAACCAAAGGCTCTTCAGATTTGGAAGGCTCCTGCACGCCAGGAAAGTGAGGGTCGCTGCAAGATGCGCCGCTTCATTGCAGAGCTTTCACTTTGACACGGTCCAGTCGCACTCCCAAACGTTGTCGGGATAGCGTGACCCGAGGTTGCTTTCCGCCAGCGACATCCTGGCCCCCCGGCGCCCCGGCGTCGGCCTGCCCCGGCCGTCTCGTGCGCTTCTCTCCGGAAAAAAAAAAAGAGAAAAAAAAACCGCGCGGCGTCTGAGCCAAGCGCTCCACGAAGCCCTCCAATCGCTGCTGCCGCTGCTCGATGTCGTAGCGCCCCACAAACCTCCGAGCTTTGAACCCACGGCGCCTGCTGCCGCTTCTTCAGGGAGCCCGGCTCCACGGCTTTGGACTTCTCCCGGCCCTCGCGGGAAGTCCAACCCACGTGCGTGCGTGCCATGGGCAACCAGCCTTGGAGTCCACGTACTCCATGGCATCCAGGGTCTCTTCGCGAGCACTTTTCCTGGCTGCCTGGGCCGCGGCTTCGGCCTGAAATCATGTCCAGCTTCCTGGGGGCCGGACATCAGGAAGTGCTGCAGCGAAGTACTTCTCTGCAATGGCGTGCCTGGGAGAAGAGCCTGGGTGCCTTACACAATTGTTGCCTATTTGCAGTTTGGCTGCTGGATGGAAATGCCGAGCTCGACCTTCTCCACCTTTCTGCACTCTGGGACTCTGGGTGTGAAATCTTGAGGCAACACAACATTGCTTTGGCGCTTTGGCCATTGTCTGCAACGCTGCCGCCTTTGCAAAGCTTCCGCGGCCGTCCCTGGGTGGCAAGTTGGCCCGCAAGATGCACCCAACCTCCATGGGCCACAGGCGGGCAGGTGAAGAGCTGATTGCCCTGGTAAGCGCCGTTGTGCTTGCCAACTCCCTCCTGCTGACAACTTCGGCAGCAGCACCCAGCAACTAGAAACAGAATCTGTCGTGTGACAACTTGCTTATGTGTAAATCGCCAAAGGGAAAGCAGGCAAGCGAGCAAAACACCGCCACTCAGCGCAATTGTCGCAGGAATCGAAAGCAGACTCAAATCCAACCATCGACCCGCAGTTTCCCATGGTGCAGGCACACATTTTCGACCACGCACTGTCTCACACCGTATGCACGTGCCCATCAAGCATGCTCAGGTATATCCTGCAAATCACACACAAGGCGCTTTTGTGTCAGGCGGAAGCCTCGTCAACCCGCGCCTGTGGGCAGCGTGGCGGAGCCTGGGCCACACGCTCGCTTCAGCATGGAAAGCGGGACTGCGGAGCGACGAGCGGCCTACTGTCAAGAGCTGAGTCCGCAATGCTCGAAGCGCGAAAGCCAAGGGCAGCCTGTAATGTTAGATAGCGATTAATAAAACGGGAGTGAATACAAAAAAACATCTCAAAATTATTCACTCTCCTGAAAAGCAAAAAGGGTAGGTATTACATAAACAAATCTGCCCGAAATCCCGAAAATATGTCCCCTTTCAAGAATGGACTATTTGTGAGGGTTGAAACGTTTGAGTCCAGCCAGAAATGTCCAGAATTTCTGGATTGCTTCCTGTCCCAAACCACCAAATTCCTTATCAATCCCTTTACTAGAAGATGCACCCTGACAAATTTTCAAAGGGGGTGGCACACGGAACCCCCAGAAAGGCAATAATGCAGTTTGTTTAAGGGTAGGGAATTATGAAGAAAAAAATGGCCAGGGCAGCCTGCCAAGAAGAAGAACCAATACTAAACCAATTCTAAACTGTAGTGAGTCAACTGAAAAGAATACTGAACTAATACTAAACCAATTCTAAACCGTAGTGAGCCAGCTCAAAGCAATACTAAACCAATACTAAGCCAATTCTAAACAATACTTACTGGAAAACTACTCAGGCAGGTCCCAGTCCGACCCCCATTTTGTTTTTGGGGGTTCTCGCTATTGACCCCCCCCAATTCGTTTGAGGGGGGGGGGGCTTTATTAATCACTCCCCAACATTATCGAACACGCATCTCAAGTTCCTTCCTTTAGTAACTGCGCCCCGCCCTTCATTGATGAACATGAGCTTTGTGCGGGAACGGGCTACTTCCACAGTCATTGAGTCATGGTTCAACTGAGGCGAGGGGCGCATCTCGCTGCATACTGTTCAAGCTGCTCTGGGTAATTGTCCAGAATGTGAGGTCTTCAGTGGCCTCGTCGTTTTGCGCGACCCGAAGGGCCCCATCTGACCACAAGGGCCCGACCTCAATCTTGTTCTTCCGCGGCTCACCCGTAAACCTGAGCTGGGCAAGTGTAGCCTGGCGTCCCTTGCTGCGCTATTTGTGCTGTGGCGCAAGTTCAGCTCCCCAGTGAACTGGCCAGGCTGGCTGCACTCAATGAAGCGCGTCACGGTCCTGCCAAAGCGATCACAGTGATCATCCAGCACCTGAGCGCGAGCGCGGAGCCCATATGCTGCGTTGTCACCAATGGCAACAGGGAAAGAAAGGCACGCCCGCCACAGCCTTCCCAGGCTGAGGATGCACCCGGCCCGGAAGCTAGACTCACTGCCAAGGCGCTCCCACATGGCCGGAGACCAGCAAGAAGGCAAAGTCAGACGGATCCCCTGGTGCCCACACCACCCCCCTCCGCGGTGCCTGCTTGGAACCTGGGGCCAGCATTCATGAATCCCCTCCCACGAAAGGGATGCTTTTGGTGTCCGATGCCCGGAAGCATCAAACAGGAGGGAGCCTGGGCTCATCGGGCGTATGAGCCTGGCGGCTCGAAGTAGTCCCGCAGCGCTATGGCGGTCTCCTCCTGAAAGCCCAGCGGCTCCAGCAGGCGGACGCAAACGTCGACGAAGAAGTCGGCGGCTGCCTGCGCCAAAATGGACGACACTTCGTCCCTGATATGTTCAGTAGGGGGCCAGGCAGAAGCTCAGAGTCAAAAGAGCACATGCGGAATGCTGTTTGGCCCACGCGGTCACGTCTTGACTATTACAAGCTTGGGCAGGCGGTGTGGTGGCAATGCGGCACCCACACGATCATGCCCGGCCCCACCCCACCTATGGCACTTCCTCAGGCAACACAGCAAAACCATGCGCTTGATGGTGGGCCATCCATCAACCCAAGGCTATTCGACGGCGGGCGGCGCGCACCTGGGAGGGGAACAGCGGCTTGGCGCCCGCCGCAACTGCTCAGTGCCAGCATCGACACCGCAGTGCGGATCATCGGCAAGGCCAGCGCCATCTCTTCCACGGCTTCCGCGGCGTGCTCCATGTCCTTAGTGTCTTTGCTGCCCCATGGTTACGACATCAAACAGTCTCCATCTGCAGTTTCAGCGTCTGGGAAGGAATGGGCTGCCATAAGATGAACATGCCCCTTCACCTGGGCCGGTCATGCCAACCAGCCGCTGTTGAAGCCCACAGCTCATGTTGCACAGCTCACAACGCTCCATGTGCCTTGGCAGCATCAGCCCCCAAGCCGCTGCAAATCACTGTGATGCCACGGCTCTGCACGGCCCCAGCCAAGCTATCCACTTCACCTCGCGACGGCTTGAAGGGTCCACCGGCATTCACAAGGCCCGGCTCTCAGTGGGAAACAACTGCCATGCATGCAAAGCTGCTGAAGGCAGATGAATCCATGGAGATGACCTGCGCAAAGTCCAGAATCACTGCCAAACAGCTCACCTGCTGCACCCGCTTTTGAAGCGAATGCGTGTTGCCGAAGAAGAGCGTACCATGCAGTCTCAACACCAGAAAGCCGCCCTTCTGGTCGAAGTCTGCTAGGAGTTGAAGCTCCCTCTGGCTCCGAATCTTCCGCGATCTCAACCCTCTCCCTGGATAGAAGGCAAACCGCACAGGATCAGACATGGCGGCCTCCACCACAAACGCCACGCAGGCGCAAAGAAGACCAACCATGAGGCCATAGATGAAGCTGACATTGCAGACTCCTGCGATGAAAACGACGATGAGATAGTCCGGCCATCCAAGGCGTGGCCAGGTGTCCACCACGGATTCCCAAAGCAGCTCAACACCGAGGTGGCCCAAAAGCACTCCCGCTAGCATCCTGGGCAAATAACAAATCAAGCTGCTGGTAAGAGGAATGCAAGCCATCACGGCCAGCGCGATGCAGAAGCCGGTGACGCGGGAGCCACCACCGCACCTGAAGTACAAAAGGCTGGAGGAGTAGACCATGTAGGTCTGCAGGGAGGCAAGGCCTGCCGCCACCAGGTTAGCCATGCCGTGCGCCGTCAGCTCCTTGTTGACGTCCACCCGGCGCCCAGTGGCCTGTGCCAGCGCCGGCACGTTCACGGGGACGTGGAGGCAGCTGAAAACCACGATGCCGCAGAGCAGCGGCAGCTGGGACGGAAATACGTGCCACGCTATGAGGCGCCAGCTGCACAGCTTGCAAAGGTAGGCTCCCCGCAGCAGGTGTGTCCTCAAAGAACCACCCTGCCGCCTGCGCATTGCGGTGCGAGATTTTCAGGAATACTAGTGCAGCTGCAAAGGACCAGGCCAAAGAAGAACAAGGGGAGCACAAAAGGCTCCAGGTCCTTGCCTTTGCACAACTTCAAGAAGATCAACAGCAGCCCCTCCAAACGACAAAGGCAAGCGATTTTGGGCCAGCAGCCTGCTTGCTGCAGCAAATGGCCCTCGTCCCATTCCCAAGCAATCCCAGTACAAGCACCCACGCCGGCAGTAAGGATGAATAAACCCATACCTGCGATGCACCCCATCAAGACCGGTCTGGGCAGGATCTTGAACACTCTTTCCAGGTTGAAGTAGCCCAGCTGCACTGTGGAGATGATCTCAGGCGAGTCGGCCAAAGATATGGTCACCGCCTTGGCCATGGAGTGCAACATGGGTATGTTCTCGATCCTTACCGCCTAGAAGTCAAACTTTGAGACTTACTTGGGAAACAGTCATGTTTCAATCGTACCAACAACCAAGGGCCATGCACCCCAAGTCTGAGGACACAGAAAAGACCGCCTGCGCCAGTGCCGCGAACAGCCCCATTGAGATGCCCATGCCCTGATAGCGCCGAACCAAACACACAGGGAGCCAAAGAAATTGGCAACATGTGCAGAGACTCATTATAGCATGCCAGGTATGAAGACCAAATGTGACACTGGTGTGACAGACATCGATTGGACTGTAAAACCACACATGGCCATGAATTTCAAGAGGAAACCACCACCAAAGTGGTTGGTGGACGTGAATCGCCGCCTAAATGATGACCACCAGAGGGTCCCCTCCTATTAAAATCCACGCCCACACGGCCCAAGCGCTGATTTGTTGCTTCTCAAGCGAGCGGGTTGCCGGGCCGCCTGGAGCGCTTTGGCCATTGGAAAGAGCAGAAAGCCATAGGGGAAGTTGTCCAGAATGGTAATGACCACCGCCACCGATGCCGCCAGAAACTGCTGCACAACGAAGAGCCACACGGGCAGCCTGGGTTCCTAAGCTGAACACAATGCAATCTAAGGCCATGTACTGGCTGAATCTTAAGTCGGCCGCACCTAGCTTTACTCTCACCCTGAACCTTTGAGTTTGGTCCACTTGGCTGGAGCCGTCGGAGGCCAAATTAGGGAAAGCATCCACGCTCTTCTCCATCAGCAGCTGCGTCAGCTCAGGAGAGCTTTTCATGGCGGCCGGCCGTGTCTCTTGCATGTCTGCTCAACTGCCATGCAACCTCGAACACTTCTGTTAGCTCCCCCAAACACTCACCACAGGGCTCAGAGCAGAGTTGCTTACGACATGAGGAGCATTCCCATCAAGATTTGGCGCGATGCGTCACAGGTACACATTGTGTTCTCTGAAGCTTCCAGGTCGGATCCTCATCGTACTCCACACCCACCACCTCCACAGCCTTGACAAGCGACCCTGCAAGGCTGGCCCGCCCGCTGGGCCTTGTGCGCATTGCATCAAGGCCCTGGCAGCTTCTGGGTAACCGTCCGACTTCTTAGGGGCCTGCAGCTGACCGGGCCTCAAGGCGTTCGAAACTGCCACGGTCAAGCTGCTTTCGCATCAACTGCCGGTGGTGTTGGTTCAAAATAGCAAGCGGAGCATGTTCTGGCAAGTGTTGCTTGCAATGTTCCGAGATTGCTGGACGGCATCGAAGCCAGGACCAAGGCCAAAAGCAAAACCACGCCCCCGTGTCAATGCATGCAAACCCCTGACGCTGCGCTAAGCCTCCCGCCCCCATCGGACAGTGGCCAAATTCCCACCAACCCGAGCGCGCCGTCCCACCTCGGTCGTTCGGCCAATAGCTGTCCAAGTGTTTTCCGCACTCCGAACGCGAGGCTCGGGCTAAGCTCGACGGGCCTCGGCAAGGCCGCATGGCTTTGACGCATTGGCATCTCAGAGCCAGACTTGCAGTGCCAGGCTCATCCTGCGCCATTGCAGGTGCCGGAGCCTTTTCGCCAGAGCAGCACCTCAAGACTTTCAGGCTGCCTGGTGTGCCTCATTGCCTGCTGGTGCCCCTCCCAACTTTTGAAGATGTACCCTGCGTGGAGAACCACTCGCTGCAATAGATCTGGTTGTGAGTGCACAACGTTCTGCTCACGTGTCGTGCTTGCTGTCAGCCAAATTCTAGGCAGTCAGGAAAGCTGCGCGATTTCCTTCAGCCTGTGCACAGTGCGCGTCAGAGGGCACTCCAGCGAGCTTCCCACCGGCCTTTCGCTCGAGGTGACTGGCAGACACGGCCATTCGCATGCAACAAAAAAAACTTCAAAGATCTGCGATGAGCATCCATCTTGGCACCAGAGATGGCTCTGCGCCGCACTCCGTTGCTGATGAATTGACTCCCCCCACATGGGACAGTTGTAGACATGGAGCAAGTGCCTGGAAGCGTCAGTACAACAATGTAGTTGGGGAAGCATGCACCATGCACATGCACTAAGCGTGCAGGGTGAATTTCCTCACGTGGAAGCTGCTTGAGCTAAGCTCCCCCTCTGGCCTAGGTGTCAACGTGACCTTGAGGAGCCCTTCTTAAGTGACAAGACCACCATTCCCCCCCCCCCCCCGCCGTCAGCTCGCAAACTGAAGTCCGCACAGCAAAACACCGCAGAGGCTTTGACGCCTGAACGCTGGCCGATATGACCCACCCTTTGGCACAGCTTCGTGCCTTTTGTGATATCCTCATCCAGGTCCCGACGCCTGCGCCCGGGCGAAAAACAGAAAGGCCAGGTGCCCCGTGAGCAAATTTTGCTGCTTGCAGGTGAGCTTTTTCACTTGGTGAGCTTTTCTTTGTGGCAGTTGTTCCTGTGAGTGTGCCTGTGCCCCTTGCCGGAATTTCTTCACCTTCAGTGGCCCAACCCCCCCCGTCCTGACCCTTGCTTTACTCATTTGCCGGCCTTCACAGGCTCTGGCAGCTCCTTGTCCACATCCACACGTGCCATCCTGCAAGCCACAAACTGGCATGCGCCGGAAAGGAGCAACCTGGGGACTGAGGGCTGGGCAACTCCAGCATGCTGTCGACAGTTGTGGCTCTTCTTCACCGCGTACCAGTGCCCGGATCTCAGATCCATAGCTCGCCTTTGGCCCTGGTCTGCAACGCCGCCTTTGCAAAGCTTCCGCGGCCGTTGCTAGGTGGCAAGTTGGCCCGCAAGATGCACCCAACCTCAATGGGCCACAGGCGGGCAGGTGAAGAGCTGATTGCCCTGGTAAGCGCCGTTGTGCTTGCCAACTCCCTCCTGCTGACAACTTGGGCAGCAGCACTTAGCAACTAGAAAGGGAAAGCAGGCAAGCGAGCAAAACACCGCCACTCGGCGCAATTGTCGCAGGCTTCGAAAGCAGACTCAAATCCAACCATTGACCCTCAGTTTCCATGGTGCAGGCACACATTTTCGGCCACGCACTGTCTCACACCGTATGCACGTGCCCATCAAGCATGCTCAGGTACATCCTGCAAATCACACAAGGCGCTTTTGTGTCAGGCGGAAGCCTCGTCAACCCGCGCCTGTGGGCAGCGTAGCGCAGCCTGGGCCACACGCTCGCTGCAGCATGGAAAGCGGGACTGCGGAGCGACGAGCGGCCTACAGTCAAGAGCTGAGTCAGGCGCGCAATGCTCTGAAGCGCAAAGGCCAAGGGCAGCCTGCATCGAACACGCATCTCAAGTCCCTCCCTTTAGTAACTTCGCCCCGCCCTTCATTGATGAACATGAACTTTAGGCGGGAACAGGCTACTTCCTCCACAGTCATGGTTCAACTGAGGCGAGGGGCGCGTCTTGCTGCATACTGCTCAAGCTGCTCTGGGTAATTGTCCAGAATGTGAGGTCTTCAGTGGCCTCGTCGTTTTGCGCGACCCAAAGAGCCACATCTGACCCCAAGGGCCCAACCTCAATCTTGTTCTTCCGCGGCTCACCCGTAAACCTGAGCTGGGCAAGTGTAGCCTAGCGTCCCTTGCTGCGCTATTTGTGCTGTGGCGCAAGTTCAGCTCCCCAGTGAACTGGCCAGGCAGGCTGCACTCAATGAAGCGCGTCACGGTCCTGCCAAAGCGATCACAGCGATCATCCAGCACCTGAGCGCGAGCGCGGATTTGCGAAGCTGCCCAAATGCCGCTTTGTCAAAAAGAAAGACAAAACAAACAAAGGCACGCCCTCTGCAGCCTTCCCAGGCTGTGTTGAGCCAGCTTATCGCTCAAACCCCCTTGCTTGCTGCTCCCGACGCGGCAGCTAGACTCACTGCCAAGGCGCTCCCACATGGCCGGAGACCAGCAAGAAGGCAAAGTCAGACGGATCCCCTGGTGCCCACAGCACCGCCCCCAGCGGTGCCTGCTGGAACCTGGGGCCAGCATTCATGAGCCCAGTCCCAAGAAAGGGATGCTTTGGTGTCCGACGCCCCGGAAGCATCAAACAGGAGGGAGCCTGGGCTCATCGGCCGTATGAGCCTGGCGGCTCGAAGTAGTCCCGCAGCGCTATGGCGGTCTCCTCCTGAAAGCCCAGCGGCTCCAGCAGGCGGACGCAAACGTCGACGAAGAAGTCGGCGGCTGCCTGCGCCAAAATGGGCGACACGTCGTCCCTGATGTGTTCAGTAGGGGGCCAGGCAGAAGCTCAGAGTCAAAAGCGGTCACGTCTTGACTATTACAAGCTTGGGCAGGCGGTGTGGTGGCAATGTGGCACCCACACGATCATGCCCGGCCCCACCCCACCTATGGCACTTCCTCAGGCAACACGGCAAAACCATGCGCTTGATGGTGGGCCATCCATCAACCCAAGGCTATTCGACGGCGGGCGGCGCGCACCTGGGGGGCAACAGCGGCTTGGCGCCCGCCGCAACTGCTCAGTGCCGGCATCGACACCGCAGTGCGGATCATCGGCGAGGCCAGCGCCATCTCTTCCACGGCTTCCACGGCGTGCTCCATGTCCTTAGTGTCAATGCTGCCCCATGGTTACGACATCAAACATTCTCGTTCTGCAGTTTCAGCGTCTGGGAAGGAATGGGCTGCCATAAGATGAACATGCCCCTTCACCTGGGCCGGTCATGCCAACCAGCCGCTGTTGAAGCCCACAGCTCATGTTGCACAGCTCACAACGCTCCATGTGCCTTGGCAGCATCAGCCCCCAAGCCGCTGCAAATCACTGTGATGCCACGGCTCTGCACGGCCCCAGCCAAGCTATCCACTTCACCTCGCGACGGCTTGAAGGGTCCACCGGCATTCACAAGGCCCGGCTCTCAGTGGGAAACAACTGCCATGCATGCAAAGCTGCTGAAGGCAGATGAATCCATGGAGATGACCTGCGCAAAGTCCAGAATCACTGCCAAACAGCTCACCTGCTGCACCCGCTTTTGAAGCGAATGCGTGTTGCCGAAGAAGAGCGTACCATGCAGTCTCAACACCAGAAAGCCGCCCTTCTGGTCGAAGTCTGCTAGGAGTTGAAGCTCCCTCTGGCTCCGAATCTTCCGCGATCTCAACCCTCTCCCTGGATAGAAGGCAAACCGCACAGGATCAGACATGGCGGCCTCCACCACAAACGCCACGCAGGCGCAAAGAAGACCAACCATGAGGCCATAGATGAAGCTGACATTGCAGACTCCTGCGATGAAAACGACGATGAGATAGTCCGGCCATCCAAGGCGTGGCCAGGTGTCCACCACGGATTCCCAAAGCAGCTCAACACCGAGGTGGCCCAAAAGCACTCCCGCTAGCATCCTGGGCAAATAACAAATCAAGCTGCTGGTAAGAGGAATGCAAGCCATCACGGCCAGCGCGATGCAGAAGCCGGTGACGCGGGAGCCACCACCGCACCTGAAGTACAAAAGGCTGGAGGAGTAGACCATGTAGGTCTGCAGGGAGGCAAGGCCTGCCGCCACCAGGTTAGCCATGCCGTGCGCCGTCAGCTCCTTGTTGACGTCCACCCGGCGCCCAGTGGCCTGTGCCAGCGCCGGCACGTTCACGGGGACGTGGAGGCAGCTGAAAACCACGATGCCGCAGAGCAGCGGCAGCTGGGACGGAAACACGTGCCACGCTATGAGGCGCCAGCTGCACAGCTGCAAAGGTAGGCTCCCCGCAGCAGGTGTGTCCTCAAAGAACCACCCTGCTGCCTGCGCATTGCGGTGCGGGATTTTCAGGAATACTAGTGCCAGCCAGCTGCAAAGGACCAGGCCAAAGAAGAACAAGGGGAGCACAAAAGGCTCAACGTCCTTGCCTTTGCACAACTTCAAGAAGATCAACAGCAGCCCCTCCAAACAACAAAGGCAAGCGATTTTGGGCCAGCAGCCTGCTTGCTGCAGCAAATGGCCCTCGTCCCATTCCCAAGCAATCCCAGTACAAGCACCCACGCCGGCAGTAAGGATGAATAAACCCATACCTGCGATGCACCCCATCAAGACCGGTCTGGGCAGGATCTTGAACACTCTTTCCAGGTTGAAGTAGCCCAGTAGAAAAAAGGCGATGGCTGTGAGCAGAGACGCTGTACTGTACAGCGCCAGCACTGTGGAGATGATCATCTCGGGCGAGTTGGCCAAAGATATTGTCACCGTCTTCGCCATGGAGTGCAACATGGGTATGTTCTCCACAATCCTTACCACCAAACGTCAAACTTTGAGAGTTGCTTGGGGAACAGTCATATTTCGGTCGTACCAACAACCAAGGATCATGCACCCCAGGCCCGCCGGCAAATCTGAGGACACAGAAAAGACCGCCTGCGCCAGTGCCGCGGACAGCAGCACCATTGAGATGCCCATGCCCTGATAGCGCCGAACCAAACACACAGGGAGCCAAGGAAATTGGCAACACATGCGCAGACTCATTATAGCATGCCAGGTATGAAGACCAAATGTGACACTGGTGTGACAGATATCGATTGGACTGTAAAACCACACATGGCCATAAATTTCAAGAGGGAACCACCTCCAAAGTGGTTGGTGGACATGAATCGCCACCCAAATGATCTCCACCAGACGGTCGCTGATTAAAACTCGCCAAAATCCACGCCCACATGGCCCAAGCGCTGATGATTTGTTGCTTGAGAACGCGAGCGGGTCGCCGGGCCGCCTGGAGCTCTTTGGCCATGGGAAAGAGCAGAAAGCCATAGGGGAAGTTGTCCAGAATGGTAATGACCACCGCCACCGATGCCGCCAGAAACTGCTGCACAACGAAGAGCCACATGGGCAGCCTGGGTTCCTAAGCTGAAAAAATGCAATCCAAGGCCATGTACTGGCTGAATCTTAAGTCGGCCGCACCTAGCTTTACTCTCACCCTGAACCTTTGAGTTTGGTCCACTTGGCTGGAGCCGTCGGAGGCCAAATTAGGGAAAGCATCCACGCTCTTCTCCATCAGCAGCTGCGTCAGCTCAGGAGAGCTTTTCATGGCGGCCGGCCGTGTCTCTTGCATGTCTGCTCAACTGCCATGCAACCTCGAACGCTTCTGTTAGCTCCTTCCACTCCTATTTCTTTTTTGCCGCTTCACCCCAAAGCTCACCACAGGGCTAGCAGAGTTGCTTACGACCTGACGAGCAGTCCTATCAAGATTTGGCGCGATGCGTCACAGGTACACATTGTGTTCTCTGAAGCTTCCAGCGTCAGATCCTCATCGTTACTCCACACCCACCACCTCCACAGCCGTGACAAGCGACCCTGCTGCAAGGCCGGCCCGCCCGCTGGGCCTTGTGTGACTTCTTAGGGGCCCGCAGCTGACCGGGCCTCAAGGCGTTCGAAACTGCCACGGTCAAGCTGCTTTCGCATCAACTGGCGGTGGTGTTGGTTCAAAATAGCAAGCGCAGCATGTTTTGGCAAGCGTTGCTTGCAATGTGCCGAGAATGCTGGACGGTATCGCCCTGCGCAATGCCAAAAGCTAGGACCAAGGTCAAAAGCAAAAGCACGCCCCCATGTCAATGCATGCAAATCCCTGGCGCTGCGCTAAGCCTCCCGCCCCCATCGGACGTGGCCAATTCCCACCAACCCGAGCGCGCCGTCCCACCTCGGTCGTTCGGCCAATAGCTGTCAAAGTGTTCACTCCAAACGCGAGGCTCTGGCTAAGCTCGACGGGCCTCGGCAAGGCCGCATGGCTTTGACGCATTGGCATCTCAGAGCCAGACTTGCAGTGCCAGGCTCATCCTGCGCCATTGCAGGTGCCGGAGCCTTTTCGCCAGAGCAGCAACCTCAAGACTTTCAGGCTGCCTGGTGTGCCTCATTGCCTGCTGGTGCCCCTCCCAATTTTTTGAAGATGTACCCTGCGTGGAGAACCACTCGCTGCAATAGATCTGGTTGTGAGTGCACAACGTTCTGCTCACGTGTCGTGTTTGCTGCCAGCCAAATTCTAGGCAGTCAGGAAAGCTGCGCGATTTCCTTCAGCCTGTGCACGGTGCGCGTCAGAGGGCACTCCAGCGAGCTTCCAACCGGCCTTTCGCTCGAGGTCACTGGCAGACAAGGCCATTCGCATGCAACAAAAAAAACTTCAAAGATCTGCGATGAGCATCCATCTTGGCACCAGAGATGGCTCTGCGCCGCACTCCGTTGCTGATGAATTGACTCCCCCCACATGGGACAGTTGTAGACATGGAGCAAGTGCCTGGAAGCGTCAGTACAACAATGTAGTTGGGGAAGCATGCACCATGCACATGCACTAAGCGTGCAGGGTGAATTTCCTCACGTGGAAGCTGCTTGAGCTAAGCTCCCCCTCTGGCCTAGGTGTCAACGTGACCTTGAGGAGCCCTTCTTAAGTGACAAGACCACCATTCCCCCCCCCCCCCCGCCGTCAGCTCGCAAACTGAAGTCCGCACAGCAAAACACCGCAGAGGCTTTGACGCCTGAACGCTGGCCGATATGACCCACCCTTTGGCACAGCTTCGTGCCTTTTGTGATATCCTCATCCAGGTCCCCGACGCCTGCGCCCGGGCGAAAAACTGAAAGGCCAGGTGCCCCGTGAGCAAATTTTGCTGCTTGCAGGTGAGCTTTTTCACTTGGTGAGCTTCTCTTTGTGGCAGTTGTTCCTGTGAGTGTGCCTGTGCCCCTTGCCGGAATTTCTTCACCTTCAGTGGCCCAACCCCCCCTGTCCTGACCCTTGCTTTACTCATTTGCCGGCCTTCACAGGCTCTGGCAGCTCCTTGTCCACATCCACACGTGCCATCCTGCAAGCCACAAACTGGCATGCGCCGGAAAGGAGCAACCTGGGGACTGAGGGCTGGGCAACTCCAGCATGCTCAGTGACCTCAGCGCTCGAGCCCCACATATCCATGGCCAAACCTACGAAACATGGAGGCAGTCGCCCGCATGGGCCGCTGACGATGGAGTGCTTGCCTGCTCTAAGTCGATTTCTTGCTTCCCTTCCTGACAACACAGTTCACGTGAACCAAAGCAGAAGTAGCTGCAAGAACCCTGCTTAGCAGCCGCAGCGAATGCTGCAATGGAAGTGTAGCCCAGATGGGTTTTTTCGCAGTGGCGCGGCGTCCCGAGGGCGAAATTGCTTCGCCAACTTAAAACCACTGCCGCAACTACTGTACTCAAGATTCGCGCCTTCCGACTACAGTTTGTAGTCGTACCCTCTTCGAGGGAATGCTACAGAGCCTCCAGCCACTAACCTAACTACTCTTCCAATAGGATCTTCGAATGGGTCTGCACCCACGCATCGATCTGAGCACGGCGTGCTTCAGGAACCGGCAATTGCAGCCGGGCCATGAAGCGCGTCGACCGTAGTCTGCCTCAGTCAGCTTCGTCCACTGCGAAGGGATGTGGATGACCAGCTGACAGGACGCAAAGGAGGAAGAGAAAAAGGGAAAATGGGACAATGGGGAAAAGGGACAAAGTGGAAAAAGGGAGGAGCAGGAACAAAAGTAACAGAATGCCAAGAGATGTAAGCTCGCGACTATGATCCGGCCGCTGTTCTGGGTCCGGCCGCGTCAGCAGAAGCACCAGCTCGATGGCATCGTCGCGTGGAAGAGCCCGAGCCTGAAACCTGAACACGCAAAATAGTACCTAAAGGCAGCACAAACAGTACCGCTCCCACCACTTAACGTGGAACCTGACAGGGGGCTCCTTTAAAAGGAAAATGGTCTTCCAGGACCCCCCCTGGCAGGTTCCATGTTGATTGGTGGGAGGGCACCACTCCTTGCATCCGAGCCTTGAAGGATTCTTCACCTTGGCGCAACTTTCAAGCAGCCTGACTCTAGCAATCAGCTAAGTCCCTGCTTAGGCACATATTTCTCCAGCAGGCGATGATTATTTGCCAGGTTCGCGAAATTGTGCGGTGTGAACGCATAGCAAGGAGTCGACCAGTCCCCGCCAGAGTCTCGAATGCCACCAGTCAGCACATTCCAGCAAACAACGCCAAAGGAGTAGATGTCAGCTTTGAAATCCTCGAGGGATCAGATGCAGGCTTGACTTTAAGTGGCTTTAAATGGGCTGTAGCATTGGGTTTAAGCTTCACTTGATGGTGTGTAGGGCTTGGTCGGCCGCAGCTGTGAAGCTTCAAGACCTGACATGGCTTCGAGTTGGCTTAGAGTAATTGGGGCCCACTCGTGGGTTTCGGGGTGCCAACAGAAGCGCCGACCGTCCTAAAGATGACACCACACACGCCATGGGTCAGACTCCAAATCGTACCCCCAGTGAACATCCCAATCCAAACACAAAAATAGGTTCTAAAATAGGTGGGGCACCGAAAACCCCAAATGGGATCCAATTGGTTTTGACAACCACGGCCAAATCTGCGGACATGCACGCGCCGAGCCACATACGGCTTCTGCAGCACCACTTCAGGCGCCACATACGCCGGACTGCCCGGCGGGCAGTTCTGAAGGGTAAAGGCACCAGTGGCCACCAAGCCTGCAAAGCCATGCCCCCTTGCCAACCCGAAAAAGGACCTGCGCTTTTCCTAGGGCCCTAGGGGATTTCTGGGCGGCTCGGAAGAAACTCGGCGTACGTTGGCAATTTCGCTTCCGGCCCGAGCCTATCCGGCCCATGCCAAAATCAGTGAGCTTCGCCCGGCCGTCGCTGGTAAAGACCACGTTCCGCGGCTTCAGGTCCCGCTGCAAGGTGCCCAGCACCACATGCAAATGCTCCTTGAGCCGGTTGCGAAAGGTACCCAAGCTTCAAACAAGTTGGCGGCCGCCCCTTTTTTCCCCAAAGACGGGGCACTCCTCCTCTCAGGACCCCCCCCACTGCCAAAAAACAGAAGCGTTTACCGCATGTCGAAACCGCTAAACAAGCCAAGGAGCCAGGCCAAGGAAGATCTCCCCCAGCCACGTGAGCGCTTGCTTGGGCAGTTGGTACTCATTGCCCACGTGCGCAGAATTCACCTTGTCCTGCAAATCCCCGCCGGCACAAAACTCCATGACCAGGGAGGAGAAGCAGGCGCCGGATTCGATGTAGTGGTTCCCAAAGATTTGCACGATGAAGGGATGGGGGTTCATCAACACGTGGTTCGTCACTTCGCGCTCTCTTGCCACGGTGGGCTGTCGACAGCTGTGGCTCTTCTTCACGGCGTACCAGTGCCCGGATCTCAGATCCATAGCTCGCCAAACCGTTCCAAACATCCCCTTGCCCAGAATGGCCTCCCGGGGCACATAGTCCCGCCTCACCATCGGAGGGGACTTGACCCAATCTTGGATTGGCTGGCCCTGGGCATCAACGGGAACCAGGTGGTCCAGACCTGGATACTGCTCTCCTTGCTTCAGGAACTCTTTGATCATGTAGTTGTTCCTTGGTCGCCATGGTCTTCATCGCGCCCCCATTTTTTGTTCCACCTCTGAGGCCCGCACATGGAAGCAAGCCGCTGGCCGCTCCCAGCTTTCCGGGCGCAAAGGGAAAAGGTGCCGCAGAGCCACTCCTCCGTCAACAGGGCGACGTCTGAATCGGACTTGGTATACCTGGCGCAGCCGCGAAACCATCCGAAACAAAGCCAGGCGACTTGTTTGCAAGCAGAGCGCGCCGAGGTTTCTGCGGTTGAGCCCAGGCACCCAGCAATGAAGTCCTGAATGCTTCTCGACAGTGGCGCCAAGCGCTGCATCACCTCATTGTCAGTTTCATCCTCAGACAGCATGCTCACCTCAGGGCCAAAGTTCCATCTCACGAGTCCAAGGCTTTGAACCGCCAGCCCCCCCCCCCATCTCCCACGGACAGCTGCCTGGTTGCAAAGCGACACAAGGAAGCTCTGCATCACCGTGGTGACCTCCGGCCAGGTCAAGTTGCAGCTCACTAGCCAGGAAGGAGATGACTTGCTGCCAGAAAGGCCAGAAATCAGCTAGGTCTTGGGCCCACCTATGACGGATATGCGCGTCCTATGACACTTTCATCGTGTCCAAGCAGAAAGAGGACCCTCATGAAGCCAAAGTTTCTTCCAACGGAGGCAACTTGGAGTGGGTAAGAAACGCAAAATCGCCGATCGTGTGTAGCATGGCACTGACTTGCTTTCTCAAGGCAAGCAACGGATCAAGTCCATCCGAGCGCTTACACACCTTGCACGGTCTCAAGCTTGGATGTGTTTTTGTTTGCGCTGGTTGTGCGCGGTGGCGTCGGGGGTGATTTGACGGTGGCGGCGGCCGTGGTGGGCCACAGCCGCGCAAGGACCCTGTTGTTTTGCAGTGTGTTCTGCTTCCTTGTTTTGCATGAACTCTTTCCAATTTGCATGGGCTGCCGCCTACAACACCAACAGCAAGCGCACGTGCGCGGTGCTGTATATATTTTTGTCTGATGATGAGAGCACCCGCTCAAGATTCGGTTGGCGCACCCGAACGGAGCAAGAAACACCCGCGCTGCTCAGCACACGCACACGCCTGCCACATGAAAGAAAGCCTGTTCGAATGCACCTATTCAGCACCGCGCACACGCGTGCCACATGATAAGAACACCCGGTCTTTGTTGTCGTCGTCGTTGTTGGTGGTGTCGTTGTTGGTGGTCGTTGTTGATGTTGCTACACTGTTGTGGCTGTTGTTGCTGTTGTTGTTTCTTTCTGTTGTGGTTGTTGCTGTTATTGTGGCTGCTGTTGCTGTCGTTGTTGCTGCTGTTGTTGTGGTAGTTCTTCTTATTGTTCTTCTTATTTTTCCTGGTCTTCTTCGTGTTCTTGTTGTTCTTGTTGTTCTTATTGCTCTTATTGTTCTTGTTGTTCTTGCTGTTGTCGTTGTTCTTGCTCTGGTTGTCGCTCTTATTGATCTTGTTCTTGTTGCTCTTGCTGCTCTTGCTGCTCTTGCTGCTCTTGCTGCTCTTGCTGATCTTGCTGCTCTTGCTGCTCTTGCTGTTCTTGCTGTTCTTGATGCTCTCTTAGTTTTGTTGTTCTTGCTGGTTATGTTGCGGTTTGTATTGTTGATACTATTGTTCTTGCGGTTCTTTTGTTGTTGCTGCTGTTGTTTCTCTTGTTGTGGCAGTTGCCACTGGTGTTCTTGTTGTAGCAGCAGCAGCAGCAGCAGCAGCTGCTGCTGCTGTTGCTTTTGGTGTTGTTGTTGCTGTTGTTGTTGCTGTTGTTGTTGCTGTTGTTGTTGCAAATGGCGACGGCGGCAGCGGTGGTGGTGGTGGTGGTGGAGCTGGTGGTGCTGCTGCTGCTGGCGGCGGCGTTGTTGCTGTTGCTGCTGTTGCTGCTGTTGGTGCTGTCGCTGTTGTTGTCGTTGTTGTCGTTGTTGTCGTTGTTGTCGTCGCTGATGCTGTTGCTGCTACTGTTGCTGTTGCTGTTGTCGTTGATGTTGTTGTTCGTAGCCGCCGTCCATACAAAATTGGCTTGCCCTTGGGCGTCTGCATCTTTTCGAGCATCACCACCACCACCACTACCACCACCACCATCATCATCATCATCATCATCATGATCACCAACATCATGATCACCATCATCAGTATCATCATCATGATCATCATCATGATCATCATCATGATCACCATCATCATCATCATCATCATCATCATCTTCTTCATCTTCACCATCATCATAATCATCATCATCGAGACGATGCAGGTGTTGTGGTCTGCTGCATCATCATCATCATCATCATCATCATCATCATCATCATCATCATCATCATCATCATCATCATCATCATCATCATCATCATGCACGTGTCGTCCGGGAAAAGGATATAGAGGGGGGATGGGAACGTACGTGGTCTACAACATCATCGTGACGATGCCCTTTCTGCATGACTCACTTGCAACTAGTGCGTTGACTCACCTGCATTTGACTTGTGCATTGACCCGCTGCACTTGATTTCTGCATGGCGATCTTTTGGCAAAGCTGTTGAAGAGATCAGCTGAACGCTGTTGCTGATGTTGTTGTTGTTGCTGCTGCAGCTCTTGCTGCTGCTGTTGCTTTTGCTGCTGCCTTTGCTGTTGTTCTTGCTCTTGTTCTTGTTCTACTTCTTGCTCTGCTGCTATTGTCGCTGTTGCTCTTGCCGTTGCTGCTGCTGTTTCTGTTGCTGCGGTTGCAGAGCAAATCAACGGCTTGAGGATAATTTGAGTCGGGCACCGCACTGGTCTCAGCTTGGTGTCGGTTTAGGACAGGTTGAGCCATGGTTCAGGGCAGCTTAGGCTTGATCCAGGGCGAAGGGGCATACAGTTGGCTCAAGGCGCATGGTTGGTTTGGTGCGTAGAGCAGCACTGCCACAATGCTGTCCCAAATGCAAGCATCAGGGATTCAGGGTTTGCGGTTCGTGTCAGGATAGGTTGAGGAGGGGCTTGAAGTGGATTTAAGGTTGTTTCGGGCAATGTTTGTGGCTGGTTCAGCGTGGGCTCAGAATTGGTTTAGGCTTGGGTCAGGTGGGCTTGGGTTGGCTTCGGCTAGTTTGGGTTTGGCTTGTGGCAGATCTCGGAGCAGTTTAGGGTTTGCTGACAGGTTAGGGTTGCTTAAGGGTTTCGGGTTGGCTCAGTATCGCTTTAGCGGCCAGGCAAAACAAACCAGGGCCCGCCAAATCTCAGCCGCAAAAGCCGCCAAAGCCCACCAGGAAACGCTTCTTTGCCCATCTTGTCTTCCCCAGCCCTCCCTTCCTATCTGGCTATGGGTCGGACCCCCGTACCCTCAGTGAACATCCCCACTAAACTAGGTTCTAAAATGGGTGGTGCACCGAAAACCCCAAAAATGGGATCCCAAAACGGTGTTGACAACCACGGCCATCCCGCCTCCGGCGTCAGCGGCAGGATCAAAGACGTGGGCAGGGCCCGGGACAGGATCTCTAGGCCATCCTCGCCCTGCAGCAGCTGGGCGAGCGCCTGCAAGAGGCAGCTGACATCATTTTCTTACTATGTTGTTATTTGATTTATTTGTTTATTTCTTATTTTTTTGGGGGGGAGGGGTATTTATTGATCTTTGTGTGTTCTTCCTTTTTGGGAGGGGAGGGGGGGGGGTTTTGCTATTTCTGTGTTCTTCTTGTTCTTCTTTTTGTTTTGGGGGGGGGGGGGGTGGGGGGGTGGGGGGTGCTATTTATGTGCTCTTCCTTTTTTGGGGGAGGAGGTATTGTTTGCTATTTATGTGTGTTCTTCATTATTTCGTTCTTCTTTTTTTTTGGGGGGGAGGGTAGTTTTTGTTATTTATGTGATGTGTTCTTCTTTTCTTTGTTTTTTTTTTGTGTTCTTCTTTTTTGGGGGGGGGTAGGATTTAGGGTTTAGGGTTTGGGGTTTGGGGTTTGTCGGTTGGGTTTAGGGTTTCGGGTTTAGGGTTTAGGGTTTGGGGGTGGGGGGGAAGGGGCGGAGGCTCAATTGAGGTGTGCCCCTTAGAATGGTTGGCTTCACCCCATTTAGGAGGGGGGGGAGGGTTCTGAAGTGACGTGGCCCCCTAAAAATAGCTTGGGGTGTTGTCTCGGGTTCGATGCTTGGGTTTTCAGTGGGGTTCCTTTTTAACTCCAAAAGCGCTCCGAAAAGGGCTCGAGGGCTCCGAAATCCATTTCGAGAGAAATTTGTGAAACACTCATTGTGTGCTCCTGAAGTTTGACATGCCCAAGAAGACTTCAACACACTTTGTGTCATAGAGGCTTGCCCAATGCGTTGCCGATATGCGTGGCTTGCCCAACAAAAAGGCTCACGAGCACCCAGAACATCCCCGGCCCCCAAAACTTGTCCCTCTTTGCGCTTGTTCCCCATTTTGGTGCTTTTTCCTGGAATCCCAGAAAGCAGACTTTTTGAACTATTATTTTAATTAAATAGTCATTATGATTATTATTATTATCATTATTTATCATTATTTTATGTTTTGTTGTGTTTTCATGTTAAAGAAAAGAAAGTTGCTTATATTAATTAGTTAATAGAAATTATGTGTTTCATGTTTCAATCACATAACATTATTTTGGATACCACCCCCTCCCGCGGCCTGGGCGAAGGTGGCCAAGGAGTGGCGCTTCGGGAAGGCCAAGACGCTCTGCAGATTCGGTAAGTCGGCCACAGAGCAGTTGAAGCCTGCAGCAGCGAATCGGGGAGGGGGGGGTGAGGCCCACTGCCGGGGGCGCCTATCCCAGAAGGGAACTGGTACCCTGTGGCAGTAGAGGTCGTTTATGCGGTCCCTGGATCTATTCCGGAGAGAGTCCAATATGCCAATATGGATGATTGGAGGATGGATTGCCCCTGGTGGATTGACTTGTGGTATAATCCTGTAAGCGGCCTGCAAAGGTTCCTTTGTCACGCAATCATGAGTATTGCTATGGTACAGAAGGGCCTTGAGCCAAATGGTTGCGGGCGATCAACATTGGTCAAAAACAGACACAAAACAGCCACAATTTTCTTTTGATCGCCGGCATTAGATATGAAATATCTTTGGCTTCTTGGCCTTCGGCCGTAGCCTTGATTTATGCCGTAGCCATGTGTATTGAAATACTGAATTCATCCTGTTTTCTGCGCGGATGAAATGTCTTGATTTGCAAAATGGGAAACAGTCTGTACTGATTCTGTGAGATACCTAGATGTATCTAAAAGATGATGTACAACGCTACGTACATGCGGGACGGATGTGAAACTATTGATCTCTCACTGAATAGTCTTGTTGGCGGTGAGGATCAATTCGGTTGAAATTCGTAGTGCCGATTTCGGGTGTTCTCTCAGTCGAGCTTCAGAAAAACTTCTTTCTTTGTCGGATCACTCAGACCAAAGGAGGGCGGCGAGCTCCGCGAGGATTGCGTCGAGGGCGCTCTGGAGCGTGGTCTCGCTGGCTGAGAGCGCGGCGTTCGTGGCGTACGAGGCCAGCAGCGTCGCGTCCAGGGCCGCCGCCGTGGCCAGAGGCGCAATTGCCGGCGCCAGTGCGCTGCTGTCCAGCTTTGAGGCCAGGTCGAATGGATGCCAGAGGTGGCAGCTTCATCAGATAGTCAACGGTTCCACCGATAGCTGCTGTCGGATTGGCTGCCGTAGTCTCCGTAGTCGTGCCAGGTCGAGTCGCCGTAGTCTTTCCACTGCTTCTGATTGCCCCACTGCTGCTTGTTGTATTCCTTATACTCTTGCTGAGTCCAGGGTTGCTTCTTCTTGAAGTACTCCTTGGATCGCTCAAAGTTTCGCTGCTTGGTGGCAGATCTGCTGCGGATGTAGACCATCATCGGACTGTGTGAATCGGAATCTTGAGGGCCATTCATGAACATCTGCACGTTCCGCGGATGAGACCTGATAGTCGAAAATGGCAGTCGTACGATCGTTCCGCATGGTTTCCAGTTGATCATCTTTCATTGCGTCCATCTCTTCCTTCCGGAAATCCTGCTGGATGTTTGTCTTGCCCCATCCAAATACGAAAGTCATCATGACATCTGGGAATGTTCGATCAAACCCGGATCCAGTCTTCATGTAGAGGTGATGACGGACGATGGATTTCAGGGTGCAGGAAGTCTCCATTGCATATTCCATTCTGTCCACGAGTGGCAAGTTCTCCGTTTCGTTCCACAATCTCTGGTATGCCTTCATGAGGATATTCATGAGACCGTTCGCCGGATTGTAGGCCTGTTGGAGTTTGCTGTAGGTGTTCGCGGACTTGTTGGCGTCTCCGGTGATCGCATCGCATTTATACAATGTCACGAGCGGCATGATTTCGGTTTGAAAATCGTCCCGTGCTGCTCCATGGCTGATTGATGGATGGGTGTGAAAAACTCCAATGGTAGCAAACGGGAGGTCTGCCCTCGTCACATGGCGGCTGTCGAATTCGAGGAGTGAGTCATTGGATGACTTTGGAAACACGCCACGAAATTCATCACTTTGCTCGATGTGGATGACGACCATTTCCTTGTTGCGCCCATGTCCTTGGACAGTTGTGCGTGGCGGCAACCTCGGTCCAATGTATTTCTTGGATTCCATGAACATGGATGTTCCTGTGGTTGCCAGGCAGTCAGAGGTCGGGATGTCGTATTCGGCATCAGTGCAATGGTTCTCGGTTCCGAAGAAGCATCTGAACATACGAACATACCGAATGTAGTTCCCCAGTTTTGACTCCTTGTGGAAATGTGTCGCGCCAATAGTTCCACTCTTGCGGAAGGTCCGCCGCGGACCAAGCATGCGATTGGTCTGGATGACCATTGCTTGATAACTATGCCCTTGTATCCAAAGCGGATGAACGTCTTGATGAGTTCCTTGGATTTCTCATCTTGAGGACTGAGGAATGCGTCTGCTTCATTTAGGCATATGATGCGCGCGCTGTTCTGCATCATCATCCTCGTGATTGGTCGATCCTTCATCGCCATGTTATTCACCTCCTTGTTGTCCAGCTTTGGATTCCTCGTAAGGTGTCCGTGGATCATGGTGAGCACGTTGATCGTCATGGATGAGGTGAACTCATGTGCCTTGAGATGGTCCACAGGAGAACGGTCAGTTGGTTGCATCAGCGATCCCAGGATGTCAGCAAATGCTTGGATGACCTCTGGTTTGTCATATGTCTTGAGCTTCTTCAATCCAATTGGAAGCTTGATCAGATATCCTGATACTGGCTGTGCCTTCCTGAACTCTTCCATGCATGGCCATAAGCTCGCTCGCATTCTGTCAATTCGGGATGAGCTCTCTTTGGATCCCTGTTGTACTTCTCCATGAAGCGGATGAAGTTCTTTTTGGTCTCCTCTGGAGCTCTTCCTCGGCGTCCTTCTTGTTCATGTCTATTTCAAGGTATATCTCCTTGAATTCCTTGATGAACTCTTCTAGGTTCTCGGGATTGTGATACTCCATGGTGACCTTCGGCTTGACGGATCTCTCCCCGGAGGGTTCCATGTTCTCCTCATCATTTTCGTCCTGATCGGTGGAGCGCCGTCGCTTCTTGGTCTCTGTGGATGTATCTTTTTCGGATGTTTCCTTGCTTTGTTGGTCGGTATTCACATATTTGAAGAAGGCATCGGCGAATTCATGGATCTTGGTGTTGTACATCTCAACGTCTTCACGACCGAGAGACTTCTTATGATGTTCCCATCAGGATCAAATGCTGCAACCATATTCTTCGCCTCGCCGTCAATGCTGTTCGCTCTTCGGAGAGTCGGATGCCGTAGTCCTGGTCCTTGAGGAATGCAAGGATCAACAATGCATCTCTTCCTGTGGCACATGTGTCAATGCTGCTTCTGGCGCGTCGTCGTCGAGGATAACGTTGTCGATGCATGCCATGTGGATGTGCACTCTCCCCGAAGGGTTTGACTGGGATTTCCCAGATTTGAGCCCGTTCTCCATGATGCTGATCAGCAGATCTCCATATGTTGTATGGAACATGAACGGGCTTCTTTGCGAACGGCTTGATCTTTCTCTCTTCTTCAATGGATGGTGGTGCCGGCCTTCGCATTCTGGATTTTGCCTGGGCCGTGCCTTCATCTTCATGGGGCGCGTCGGATCTTGAAGGATGCGGACTTGGAGGAATGGATTCTGTTGGAAGATCGTAGTCCGGTTCTTCTTGACGAGGTTCACTCTTCTGTCCAGGCCAAAGGGGGCGTCCAAAGTATTGGAGATCGACTTGTCGAGTATGACCGCTGTTGCATCTCACGTAGCATTCCATCTCTGGATCATTGAGGAATTCTCTGCCATCAGGCCTGAGTGCATCACATGCGGATCTGGATGTGAGGTTGTCGATCCATCGATTCTTTGGAACAATGCATCCCTTGTCCTTGCGCTCATTGTATGACCCGTCCACGGATGGATACACGAAAGCAATCTCGAAACGTGCCTTTCCATAATCCGGGAACATAGCCATCAGGAGAAGTCTTGGCTTATTGCCCATGAAGTTCCTCGCATGTGTAATGCATCCCAATGCATCGTAGAGCTCAACGGATCCGTCAGGATTCATTTCCACTTGTCGTCGGCATTCTCTGTGATTGCCCTGTTTTGGATCATGTCGAAAGCATCCGGAAAACAATCTGCTCAATCGCTCGGTTCGCCAGAGGATGAGGTCGCAAACCTGCTCAACATTCTGGACGGTCTTGTCAAGATCAATCATGCGGTTGTGGCATACCATCGGAATGATGTCGGTTCCGAAGTCTTCCGGCTGAGCATTGGTATAGCAGCAGATACTGTAGACCTTCTTGATGAAGTCCATGTTATTGTTTCTCTGTATGTGGGCCTTCACCTTGAAGTGTTGGCTGCCAGTAATCATTGAATCTGGCTCTCAACCGGAATACCTTGGCTCCATGTTCTCGGTATCTGATTCTTCGGATATATACCACCGATCGTTGGATGTGAGAGTTGTCCGCATCGCTGGTCGCCTTGGAAGTGCAGGACGTTCACCAGGATTGTTGTCGGACTCTGTCTTCTCATCCAATGTATTCTTCGGTGCTGGCTTAACCTTTCACGCAAGCCTCAGTGTCGGTGGTGGTGACTTCGGAACCAGTTTCGGATGTTCGGCTTCGGATTTCCTGCGGGAGGTTGCTCTTCGTCATCCAGATCATCATCGTTGTCGGTATCTCGATCGTACTCTGCCTGCTCCACGTTGACATTTTCTGGTTGTTGAGAGGCGGATGGATTCTCATCGGCGACCTGCTCCATGGGGCAGTCGGATGTCTCATCTTCCTCGTCGCGAGCAGGGGATTCCTGCAAAGGAGATGCACGTCTCTTCACTAGCGGCTTCGGCGAAGGAGCCGCAGTGCCGGATCGTCCAAAGATCATATTGAGAATCGGCATGTCTTCGAGGTGATCAAGCATACACGATTGCAAAGGTCAGAATGGTTGTAAACCAAAGTGGCTGCGGATGCAGACACATATTTCTTGGGATTCAAAAAATGGGTCAAGTGCAACAACACGCATCACGGATTTGAGGAATTGAAAATGTGCAAAATGAAAAACTCATGCATCAGAATTCGTGGACATGCGGATCATGCCAAGGTTCCCCAATAAGCAAACATGGATTCTGCTACACCAACTCCTGCAAAGGCAATGATGTCGGGTCCGTGCTTCGTATTGTGTGCTAGCCACTCAACCAAAAATGCCTTGTTCTGCAACATAGTACGGAAAGGTGGATGTGCATCAAC